TTTCTTCTTGTAGTATTTTCTGAATACCATCTTGGATTATTTCCCGGCATTTTCTTATTTTGGTGCAGTTTCACCACATGTGGAGGAAGGTGCCTGGATCAAGAGCAGTACGTGTGAAAAAGATCTTGGAGTCCTCGTGGACAACAAGTTAAACATGAGCCAACAATGTGATGTGGCGGCAAAAAAAGCCAATGGGATTTTGGCCTGCATAGTGTCTAGATCTAGGGAAGTCATGCTACCCCTCTATTCTGCTTTGGTTAGACCACACCTGGAATATTGTGTCCAATTCTGGGCACCACAATTCAAGAGAGATATTGACAAGCTGGAATGTGTCCAGAGGAGGGCGACTAAAATGATCAAGGGTCTGGAGAACAAGCCCTATGAGGAGTGGCTTAAGGAGCTGGGCATGTTTAGCCTGAAGAAGAGTAGGCTTAGAGGAAACATGATAGCCATGTACAAATACGTGAGAAGAAGTCATAGGGAGGAAGGAGCAAACTTGTTTTCTGCTGCCCTCCAGGGCAGCATTTGGAACAGTTCCTTAACATTTGGAACATTAGGACGCAATGGAGCAAGGGCTTCAAATTACAAGAAAGGAGATTCCACCTGAACATTACGAAGAACTTCCTAATGGAATCATAGAATCAAAGAATCAAAGAGTTGGAAGAGACCTCATGGGCCATCCAGTCCAACCCCCTGCCAAGAAGCAGGAATATTGCATTCAAATCACCCCTGACAGATGGCCATCCAGCCTCTGTTTAAAAGCTTCCAAAGAAGGAGCCTCCACCACACTCCGGGGCAGAGAGTTCCACTGCTGAACGGTTCTCACAGTCAGGAAGTTCTTCCTCATGTTCAGATGGAATCTCCTCTCTTGTAGTCTAACTATAAGAGCTGTTTAGCAGTGGAACTCTCTGCCTTGGAGTGTAGTGGAGCCTCCTTCTTTGGAGGCTTTTAAGCGAAGGCTAGATGACCATCTGTCAGGGGTGCTTTGAATGCAATTTTCCTGCTTCTTGGAAAATGGGTTGGACTGGATGGCCCATGAGGTCTCTTCCAACTCTAGGATTCCATGCTTCATCATATCACACATAATGTAATCAAATCTGCAAAAGTCAACCCTGCAATTACGGAGACAACTAAATGCACAAACACAAACTTTTCCCCACTGCCCACCTCTCCTTCACACGCCTCTTTCAAACAAGCAACTAACTTCTGCCTATGTGGTATCTTCCAGATAGTATCTTCAGGAAGCAGGAGTTTTTAATTTCAGCACACCCTGGCCGTCTTTTTAGAAGTTGTGCCAAGCAGTTTGGCTGAACGGCATGGTCCGCGCTAATCAAGGTATTCTTTGTGTGGTTCAACCAGCTATTAGATTACTATCTCCACCTGCTCTCTTTTTCAAATCACACTTAATTTTACTTTTCAAGGTTCCATGCCATACCCAAGCATTGATCTAATGCGGCACACAGCATACAGTGGAACAAAAACGTACGCTTTTGCGCCTGATTATGGAAGACGCCGCTCGTCTTTCCTTTTGTGTTGCCCTTCAGGGGCCTAATGTTTTTGCCACCCACCTCTCCTACATTTGCTCTTCTTTTTGTGAAATGGCTACAAGCCCATTCCCTGCGGGCCGACAGATACACAGATGAAAGAAACCAAATAGAATGATTGCGTGACTTCTCCGGTTCCATTGTTCCTTAACATTTGGAACAGCCTCTTTCTTTTGTTTGCAGGCTTGTGTTTGGACGGGTCAGCAACTTTTGCAGGCGTTATGTAGCTTTTGATTTTTAATATCCCTTCGGCCAGTGGTTCTCAATCTTCCTAATGCTGCGACTCCTTAATACAGGTCCTCATGTTGTGGTGACCCCCCCAACCATAACATTATTTTCGTTGCTACTTCGTAACTGTGACTTTGCTACTGTTATGAATCATAATGTAAATATCTGATATGTGGGACGTATTGTCATTCACTGGACCAAATTTGGCACAAATACCCAATACGCTCAATGTGCTGGTATGTCTGTACCAGGAGCTCCAACTTTATTTTCTTTCTATTAAGTGTTTGCATGCATTCCAAAGTTTCAGGGATTCTGCCAAAAGGTGGCTTCCTTTGGTTTGCAGTCATAGGGCAAGCCACTCGTCTATCATTGTTAAGTTTCCCAGGGAGATGGGAAGGGAAGAGGGGTCCATTTTAGTTAGTCTTAGTGAGGAAAGCTAAGTTAAGAGGACGTAGACAAGCTTCACCTGCAAAAAGCTTCATTTCTCAAGACATTCCGGGGGGAAATTCCCAAAGCTCTGGCAGGGAATTTCCTCCCGTAAGGCTGAGAGCTTGCAGCCTCTCAGCCTTACAGCATCTGAGGGAAACAGCCCTAAAGTCTTAAAGAAATTCCAGAGGGAAAACAGCTTTACAGACCCAAAGAACTCCAGCTGGAGAATCTACAAGCTTTGTCTGGTAGGTTTACTTGGTACCAAGACGCAGTTTGGAATTGGTAGTAGATCCCACGCCAACAAAACTTAGATAACAGACAGCCTGGGAGAGGTTAAAAAAGGGCTTTCCTCTAAAAGTATAAGAACAATTAACGAAGACATTTGCCTGTCCCTTGTGGACAAGATTAAGGAAGCCACCATTGTTTGACTCATTGAAGATTTGAGAAACATCTGTTTAACTTGTTCAATAATAAAGGACTTTGTTTAACCTTTCAAGCCATCTAAAGACCATTTCTTCAGGAAAATCCTTGAGGGCCTCTTTCGTGGCGCCCTGGCTTCCCGCTGGGCACAAGGTGCACGTCCTATTTCAAAAGACAATTATTACAGGCCCAGTGCGTGACAGAACACTCAAATTTGAGTACTGGTGAGGTTGGGGGGGTGGTGGTGGTGGTGGTGGTGTGATTTTGTCATTTGGGAGTTGTAGTTGCTGTAGTTACAATCCTTTTGTCATATGTTCTGCAGTTGTTGGTGATGGAAGGGTTAATGTGAGTATTAGTTCTAGAGGGTTTGGTGATCTGTAAGTGGGAGTTCATGGGTGAAAGCAATTAGGGGTGGAGGTGTGCAGGAGATGGGTTGCAGCTGGGTGTTACTGGATTTAAGGAGCTAATCTTGAGACTGACCTTTGGGAGAAAAGTAATTGTATTTTGGTGGTGGATGCTGCTGGTTTTTCCCCCAGGTCTGTTGGATTTTTTGGTATCCTGACCTGTCTCCTGTAATCTTGGAATCCTGGAACCTTGAACCTTTGGACTGGCTTTTGACTACGGTATAGACCAGGGGTCCACAAACATTTTAAACAGAGGGCCAGGTCATAGTCCCTGAAACTGTCGGAGGGCCGGATTATAATTTGGAAAAAAAAATGAATGAATTCCTATGCACAGTGCATGTATATTATTTGTAGTGCAAAAACACTTTAGAAGAATATAATAATTAAAACGAAGAACAATTTTAACAAATATAAACTTATTAGTATTTCATTGGGAAGTGTGGGCCTACTTTTGGCTGATGAGATAGGATTGTTGTTGTGTGCTTTCAAGTCATTTCAGACTTAGGTTGACCCTGAGCAAAGGCCGCGTAAATGACCCTGGAGGGCCATATTCGGCCCCCGGGCCGTAGTTTGAGGACCCCTGGTATAGACTCTTGATCCCTGGACTTTGTTTATTGAACTCTCGGCATTTGACCATTGGACTGGACCCTTTTGACTACGGAGTTGTTTTTGCTATCAGTTTTTGTTTATTCTGTGCCTGGGTGCGATCTTTATGCAAGTAAGTGCTGTTTTAATTAAACTATTTGATAAAACTGGGTAGTTTGGTTCATCTCTACCTAAACAAGGTATAGCCCTGGCAACGTGACACCTTTCCTAATGGCTTGAGGTAGGCTTCAATATATTATTTATTTATTTAGGAACATTTATGTCCTGTCCTTCTCAACCTCCAAAGAGGGACTCAGGCTGGCTTCCAACAGGCAACTATTCAATGCCGGCACAATACAACAACATAACATAAAATACAATTATCATACATTAAAACAGTTATAAATCTATATAAATAAAAATGTAATATTTGTGTTTGTGGGATTAACATAACTCAAAAACCACTAGGCGGATTGGCAACAAATTTGGACACAAGACGTCTACTAACCCAAGGAATAACCATCACTAAAAAAATTGATTTTGCCATTTGGGAGTTGTAGTTGCTGGGATTTATAGTTAGCTTACAATCAAAGAGTATTCCAAACCCCACCAATGATGGAATTGAACCAAACTTGGCGCACAGTACTCCCATGACCAACAGAAAACACTAGAAGCGTTTGGTGGGCATTGAACCTGAGTTTTGGAGTTGTAGTTTACCTACATCCAGATAGCACCATGGACTCAAACAATGATGGATCTGGACCCAACTTGGCACGAATACTCAATATGCCCAAATGTGAACACTGGTGGAGTTTGGGGAACACAGACCTTGACCTTTGGGAGTTGTACTTGCTGGGATTTATCATTCACCTACAACCAAAGAGCATTCTGAACCCCACCAATGATAGAATTGCACCAAACTTCCCACGCAGTACCCCCATGACCAACAGAAAATACTGTGTTTCCTGGTGGTCTTTGGTGACCCCTCTGACATCCCCTCATGATCCCCCCCCCCTTTTCCTGCTTCTTGGTAGGGGGTTATACTGGATTGCCCACGAGGTCTCTTCCAACTCTATGATTCTATGGTTCTATGAATTGGCTTGCTAGTTTGGCACAATGAAGAGTTGTGGTTCAGGATAAAGGCAGGAGCATAACATAAAAAGTTGACCAGTTACAGAAAGGAAAACTTGAAGAAAAGTTGTAACAATGGTAGAAAATAAAGACCCATATACATCCATGTGTATTTTCTACAAGTTAACAACTTTGTGTGGCAAGTCTCCTTAACCAAACCATTAAGGGAGGTACACATATACAATCTGCTCCAGCTAGTTTTAGTTATCCAATGCTTGCATAAGTCAGGTCTTATACAAAACGGTACAGAAAACAGACATTTCAAAGAGCAATGGAAACATTTTTATTGACTGGGTTGTTTCTGCTTCTGATTGCAAATGCATTGGTTAAAATATTTCAGGATTTTTTCCCCTTCTTAGTACAAAAATGAAGGAAAATTAGAAAAGTAAGGTTCTGTACACAACTGGTGCAGGAGCTTTGGAATTCCAGATGTAGTAATCCGAGGAAAGCACTTCTCGGGCTGAAAGGTTAAAAGAAGGAAAAGAGAAAATGAGTTCATCATGTTGACATGAAAGGTACAAAAGAGTCGAATACTAGGGCTGGGTTACCACGGAAAAAATTGTTTCTAAACTCGATTCGTTTCCAGGGGGCGCTAGCGTTTACAAATTCTAAATACTTCCGAAATTTTGAGATTTCAAAATTTCGTTATTTATGAAATTTCGTTAATTTCGAATCGATTCGTTAATGGCGGACACGATTGCGCAATATGCTAAAAAAACCTCCAAATAGGACAGGGGGAACTTCTGAAGCTTCCCTCTCCCTCTGTTGTTGACTGTTGGTGTAATAAAACAAACAACAACTATAAAACTTGCACCAGACATGCGAAAATAATTATGAAATAATTACGAAAAAATTATGAAAAAATTTCGAAATAATAACGAAACAATAACGAAATAAATTGAAAAAATTGTTTCAAATCTAATTTACTCTTCACACTATTCCTGCATGGCTCAATATCAGATCGTAAGCTAATTTAAATACGAATTAATAACGAATTACGAAATTAATGAACGAAACCACCCAGCCCTATCGAATACATGTATCTCAGTTCACAAAAAACAAAACAAAACATGGTTCCACACCCTGTTTCTTTAGATTTAAGGACTGAAGGTCCTTTGTCAATTGTAATAATCTGTATTTGTATGAATTTATTTTAATATTTATCTACAGCATTTATATTCCGCCCTTCTCATCCCGAAGGGGACTCAGGGCAGATCACTCAACATATACACGGCATACATTCAATGCCATTAAACAGACAGGATAGACAACAGATAGAGGTATATGTCAGCATTTTTCCCAACTTCGCTGTCCTGGAGGTTGTGCTCAATTCCGACCACAGGGGGGTGCTGTTGCTCCATCCTCTATAATGAAGAGCCCTTGATCACAGACTTCCCCTTCCTTTGATCACTGGCATTTTCTGGTATTTCTTATTTATGGTACCGTAAAATACCTCCCCGCTTAAGCGGTGCCTAATTTCTCTACTCACAGCTCACAGCTGTTTTTGAATTGCTTAGGTGGACAGTGAGCTGGGCTGAAGGTTGGGTGCTCACCCTGACCTGGGCTTCGAACTGCCAATCTTCCGATTGGTATGATCTATTGCTGCTGGTGATTAACCAGCTGTGCTGAAGACTGGCCCATGTATGAAGACCTTTTTCATCAGCTTTTGTTCTCCTGGGTGCCCAACTTGTGACATGTAGTATGCCATTTGAAACAGGTACTTCTGACCCTTTAGTCCTTGGCCATTTGTCAGCTAATCTACATCCCATGGAGCAGATGTGCCAAACTCAAGTCCCATGGGCCGACTTAATCTGTGGGCTGCGGACAACCAGTGGTCAGTGAGGACGAAAATTTGGTCCGCAAGCCTCCTTCTTCATTATTGATTTAATTTATATAATTTATTTTATTTCTGTTCCTTTCACACCACCTGCCACTCCTTCCCTGTTGCTGACTGTGGCATATGTTCTGTATCAGAAACTAGAGCTGATGTGGTCTACCCAATGTAATTATCAGATTCGTAACCCTTTTGGTACTAATGTTGGAGTGGTCCCTGGTCAAAGTGGTCCTTGGTCAAGTGATCCCTGGTCAAAGTGGTCCTTGGTCAAGTGCTCACTGGTCAAGTGGTCCCTGATCAAGTGGTCCCTGGTCAAGCAATCTCTGGTTAAGTGGTCCCTGGTCAAAGTGGTCCCGTGGTCAAGTAATCCATAGTCAAAGTGATCCCTGGTCAAAGTGGTCCCTGGTCAAGTGATCCCTGGTCAAGCAATCTCTGGTTAAGTGGTCCCTGGTCAAAGTGGTCCCTGGTCAAGTAATCCATAGTCAAAGTGATCCCTGGTCAAAGTGGTCCCTGGTCAAAGTGGTCCCTGGTCAAGTGATCCCTGGTCAAGCAATCTCTGGTTAAGTGGTCCCTGGTCAAAGTGGTCCCTGGTCAAGTAATCCATAGTCAAAGTGATCCCTGGTCAAAGTGGTCCCTGGTCAAGTGATCCCTGGTCAAGCAATCTCTGGTTAAGTGGTCCCTGGTCAAAGTGGTCCCTGGTCAAGTAATCCATAGTCAAAGTGATCCCTGGTCAAGTGATCCGTGGTCAAGCAATCTCTGGTTAAGTGGTCCCTGGTCAAAGTGGTCCCTGGTCAAGTAATCCATAGTCAAAGTGATCCCTGGTCAAAGTGGTCCCTGGTCAAGTGATCCCTGGTCAAGCAATCTCTGGTTAAGTGGTCCCTGGTCAAAGTGGTCCCTGGTCAAGTAATCCATAGTCAAAGTGATCCCTGGTCAAAGTGGTCCCTGGTCAAAGTGGTCCCTGGTCAAGTGATCCCTGGTCAAAGTGTTTGCATCTATGTAATCATGCAACCTGACCTGTTCTCCTTTACCTGTTCTCTCCAAAAAGGAAAAAAAATTACCTCTCTCCCACTTCAAAGACAGTAGTTATATCAGGCATGGGCAAACTTTGGCCCTTCAGGTGTTTTGGACTTCAATGTCCAGAATTCCTAACAGCCGATAGGCTTTTAGGAATTGTGGGAGTTGAAGTCCAAAACACCTGGAGAGTTGAAGTCCAAAACACCATGCCTGCTCTATAGAGTGGGAACCAACAAGTGTTTCAGTCAGAAATATGCATAATAAAATGTCACTTAAAATATTTTATTTAGGAATGCATATTGCTAGATATTTCTATGATTAAGGATGCCAAGTTCACCTGTATATGTATTTCTGTTCTGAAATAAAAGTTGTTTACATTGTACATTCAAGAATGACACCATCCACTTACCTGTGATGATCTTTGGCTTTCCTGAGGAAAAGACCTGGATGGAATGCTGGTCTGTGTAACATCCAGTCAGCGTGAAATCCAGGATCCTAAAATACAGCTAAAGATGCCAAAGAAGAAGAAAAAGAAAGAGAGAGAGAAAGGGAGGTGAACTCTCAACACTGTGAGCATTCACTTTCCAATTAACCATTCTTAAGAATTGGAAATTTACATGTGGGTTGTTGTAGGTTTTTTTGAGCTATATGGCCATGTTCTAGAGGCATTCTCTCCTGACGTTTCGCCTGCATCTATGGCAAGCATCCTCAGAGGTAGTGAAGTCTGTTGGAACTAGGAAAAAGGGTTTATATATCTGTGGAATGACCAGGGTGGGACAAAGAACTCTTGTCTGCTGGAGCTAGGTGTGAATGTTTCAACTGACCACCTTGATTAGCATTTGATTGCCTGGCAGAGAGTTGTGGCTGTAGGATTTAGAAAATTGCTATGGAAGAATCTCTAGGAATTTGCTAAGTCCATAATGTGATTCCATTATCACTTTTGCCGTTACTTAGGGCCATAAAGGGGTAGAAGAAAAGCAGGCACAGCTCCACAATTGCCTGGAAAAAGGAGCAGATTAAAGTCCTCCCTCCATCCCAACTGCCACTGCCCCTGGCCTTGAAGAGAGAGAAGAGTCAGATACAGCTCCATTATATCTAGGCCCAGAAGCGGATGAACAGCCCTTCTTCCATCCCAATTGTCATAGAATCATAGAATCAAAGAGTTGGAAGAGACCTCATGGGCCATCCAGTCCAACCCCATTCTGCCAAGAAGCAGGAATATTGCATTCAAATCACCCCTGACAGATGGCCATCCAGCCTCTGTTTAAAAGCTTCCAAAGAAGGAGCCTCCACCACACTCGGGGGCAGAGAGTTCCACTGATGAATGGCTCTCACAGTCAGGAAGTTCTTCCTCATGTTCAGATGGAATCTCCTCTCTTGTAGTTTGAAGCCATTGTTCCTGTCCTAGTCTCCAGGGAAGCAGAAAACAAGCTTGCTCCCTCCTCCCTGTGGCTTCCTCTCACATATTTATACATGGCTATCATATCTCCTCTCAGCCTTCTCTTCTTCAGGCTAAACATCCCCAGCTCCTTAAGCCACTCCTCATAGGGCTTGTTCTCCAGACCCTTGATCATTTGAGTCGCCCTCCTCTGGACACATTCCAGCTTGTCAATATCTCTCTTGAATTGTGGTGCCCAGAATTGGACACAATATTCCAGGTGTGGTCTAACCAAAGCAGAATAGAGGGGTAGCATGACTTCCCTAGATCTAGACACTATGCTCATATTGATGCAGGCCAAAATCCCATTGGCTTTTTTTGCCACCACATCACATTGTTGGCTCATGTTTAACTTGTTGTCCACGAGGACTCCAAGATCTTTTTCACACGTACTGCTCTCAAGCCAGGCAGTGTCCCCCATTCTGTATCTTTGCATTTCGTTTTTCCTGCCAAAGTGGAGTATCTTGCATTTGTCCCTGTTGAACTTCATTTTGTTAGTTTTGGCCATTCATCTCTCTAATCTGTCAAGATCCTTTTGAATCCTGCTCCTGTCCTCTGGAGTCTTGGCTCTCCCTCCCAATTTGGTGTCGTCTGCAAACTTGATGATCCTGCCTTCTAGCCCTTCATCTAAGTCATTAATAAAGATGTTGAACAGGACCGGGCCCAGGACGGAACCCCTCTGGTCTCTGAGGAAGGGAAGAAGAGGAAGTTACACCTCCATCATGGCCAAGCGCAGAAGCAGATGGAAATAGCTTCCTCCTTCCCAAATGCCACTGCCTAGCCTTGGAGAGAAGAGAAGAAGAAACAGACACAGCTACAGAAGTACAGAAGGAGGAGAAAGGTCTTCTTGCCTTCTCAATATCCACTGCCCTGGTCTTGGAGGGAAAGAATTGGATGCCGTTGCTGGACTTAATCCCTTCCTACACATCCAGACCCTTTTCCTTGTGCATCTTGTGTTATTTAGATGGTAAGCCTCAGGGCAGGGAACTGTTAAATTGACAATTTGTAAGCTGCTCTGAGAGCTTTTGTAGACTAAATACTCTAAATAACTATATACCGACAAAAACATGCTGGTCTTTCTCTATAATAAAGCAGCCATGGACTGACCACTGAGGCATTTCTAGTGGAGGCTCTCCATTTTTTTTGTCTCTTATGGTTACTTCTTAGAGCTTGATGAAAGCTAGACCCTGGAAAAGCCACTTCCACTTCTAAAGACAACAGCAGCTCTCAGGGCGCTTCCAGACAGTATCAAAATGCAGGACAAATAAGTGGGGCAAAATGTATTGTCGAAGGCTTTCATGGCTGGAATCACTAAGTTCTTGTGGTTTTTTTCGGGCTATATGGCCATGTTCTAGAGGCATTTCTCCTGACGTTTCGCCTGCATCTATGGCAAGCATCCTCAGAGGTGAGGTCTGTTGGAACTGGGGAAAAGGGGTTTATATATCTGTGGAATGACCAGGGTGAGACAAAGGACTTTTGTCAGTTGGGCTTGGTGTGAATATTTCAACTGACCACCTTGATTAGCATACAATGGGCTGACTGTGCCTGGAGCAAACTCTTCTTGAAAGGTAATTAGATGTCCCTGCCTGTTTCCTCTCTGCTGTTTTTGCTGTTGCAATTTTAGAATTTTTTAATACTGGTAGCCAGATTTTGTTCATTTTCATGGTTTCCTCCTTTCTGTTGAAATTGTCCACATGCTTGTGGATTTCAATGGCTTCTCTGTGTAGTCTGACATGGTGGTTGTGAGAGTGGTCCAGCATTTCTGTGTTCTCAAATAATATGCTGTGTCCAGGTTGGTTCATCAGGTGCTCTGCTATGGCTGACTTCTCTGGTTGGAGTAGTCTGCAGTGCCTTTCATGTTCCTTGATTCATGTCTGGGCAATGCTGCATTTGGTGGTCCCTCTGTAGACTTGTCCACAGCTGCATGGTACACGAGACTCCTGCAGAGGTGAGAGGATCCCTCTTGTCCTTTGCTGAATGTAGCATTTGTTGGATTTTCTTAGTAGGTCTGTAGATTGTTTGTATGTTGTGTTTCCTCATCAGCTTCCCTATGCGGTCAGTGGTTCCCTTGATGTATGGCAAGAACACTTTTCCTCTGGGTGGATCTTCATCTTTACTCTCGTGGCTTGTTCTTGGTCTTGCAGCTCTTCTGATGTCTGAGGTGGAGTCTCCTTGGCCTGTAGAGCCCAGTTGAGGTGGTTCAGTTCATCTTGGAGGAGGTGGGCTTCGCAGGTTCTTTTTGCACGGTCTGCCAAGGCTTTAATGGTGCTTCTTTTTTGACTTGGGTGATGGTTGGAGTTTTTATGTAGATATCTATCTCTGTGTGTAGGTTTTCTGTAAATGGTATGTGACCCAATTGTTGATCTGGTTTGCGGATGACTAGGACATCTAGAAAAGGCAGTCTTCCTTCATTTTCTTTTTCCATGGTGAACTGGATGTTTGGGTGGATGCTGTTAAGATGGTTCAGGAACCTGTTGAGTTCTTCTTCTCCATGGCTCCAAATGGTGAAGGTGTCATCCACATATCTGAACCATATCGTGGGCTTTTTGGTTGCTGTTTCAAGAGCTTGTTTTTCAAAGTGTTCCATGTAGAAGTTAGCTATGACCGGGCTGAGAGGGCTCCCCATAGCTACTCCATCTTTCTGTTCGTAGAATTCATTGTCCCACTGAAAGTAGCTGATGGTGAGGCAATGGTGAAACAGAGCAGTGATGTCTTCTGGGAACCTCTGGTTGATTGTATGCTAATCAAGGTGGTCAGTTGAAACATTCACACCCAGCCCAACTGACAAAAGTCCTTTGTCTCATGCTGGTCATTCCACAGATATATATACCCCTTTTTCCCAGTTCCAACAGACCTCACCTCTGAGGATGCTTGCCATAGATGCAGATGAAACGTGAGGAGAAATGCCTCTAGAACATGGCCATATAGCCCAAAAAAACCCACAAGAACTTAGTGGGGCAAAAACCCGCGGGACCTAACAGCAAGTCCAAACACAGACCTGTAATTCCCAGTAAATTCCTTTGCAGCAAATTTTTAAAATCCACAAGATGGACAGGGAGCATCTGACAGTAGTTTACTTTAATTTAAAAAAAAATACTCTCAGAGATGCGTTGGACCTCATAAGCGCTGATTCGGATATCTAAATGTATTATCTCTTCTCACCCTACTGTAAATTCAAGCTCTGTTTAATTTCATAAACTTCAGAACAAAGGAATGTTTGCAGAGCGTTCTCATTGTAATTGCTTTCCAATTGGGCTTCCATTTAGCTACCTGTGTGTCTGTGGCCCCATTTGTGTCCTTGCCTTTGTAAGCCGCCCTGAGTCCCCCCGGGAGTTGCGAAGGGCAGATTAGAAATGTGGGAAATAAAATAATAATAATAAATGTATTGTCAAAGGCTTTCATGGCCAGAATCACTGGGTTATTGTACGTTTTTTTGGCCTATATGGTCATGGTCTAGAGGCATTCTCTCCTGACGTTTCGCCTGCATCTATGGCAAGCATTCTCAGAGGTAGTGAGGTCCTCACTACCTCTGAGGATGCTTGCCATAGATGCAGGCGAAACGTCAGGAGAGAATGCCTCTAGACCATGGCCATATAGCCCAAAAAACCTACAACAACCCAATAATAACAAATAAATTTGTTTACAGCCCTCATCAGCTGTTTCAGGATTATAAAACACGCACACGCACTGGAGCAGTCCACACCAGCATAAAGGAACAAAGTCATGTATTGTCGAAGGATTTCATGGCCAAAATCACTGGGTTGTTGTAGGTTTTTTGGGCTGTGTGGCCATGTATGGAATGCTTCTAGCACATGGGCATTCAGCCCGAAAAACCCACAACAATACAAAGTCATGTGTTTCACTTGACTTCAGGGATATTAATCTGAAATCATCATGTGAATATGCACATTTCTTGGCTGAAATCGGGTTTTAAGTGCACCTTTTTAACATGTGTTTTTCAATTGTTAATGCGAATCAGCGATCATTTAGCTACACTCCCCCTTTTATCCCAGTTTCTTCCGTGTTTTAGGGCCTGTGTAGAAGGGCCCATAGATCCCTGCAGGCAATACAATAAGAAACATTCATGCACAGGGATCAACCCACTTCTCAGGGCCTGCCACAGCTAGACAGCTAAGATTCATCTCATCCAGCTTCATGTGGAGACTGTGACTTACTTTGACATAGGCGGTGCCTCCTGCACACACAGGATCAACAGGTTGCTCCTGGCTCGCTGGACCAAAAGCAATAGTCCCAGTGAGGGAAACTTCCAACGATTTGGGAAACTTTTGCCCTTTGGGAGAGACAAAGAAAGATTTCAGATCAATATGATTGTGGTATTGTGGCTTGAGAACCAGACTGCAACTTTGAAGACCAGGGTTGCATTGTCCACTTGGCCATGGAAATCTATCAGATGACCTTGGCCCAAGTCACACATTCTTAGCCCTCAAAAAAACCTATGAGATATTGTTTCATAGAAATGTTTAGTGGTGTACAAATGGGTGAAATAAGTAAATAAATAGTCCTCTCAGCCAAAGAAAGACAACTGGGTCTTCCCAGGAAAGCTCTGCTATCTGTCCTCCGTCGGCCTAGAAAGGATAAAGGAAAGGAGACTTGGCTTACCGATGATCCAAACCAGAAGGCTTTTCTCTTTCGACACCTCCAGTTGGCCGTAGCTGACTTTGTATTCCAAGTGTATGATGGGTCCCCTATCACCAAGAGAAGGGCAAAGCATCATAAGAAACTCAGGGTAGCCCAGGCATGGGCACATTTGGGCCCTCCGGGTGTTTTGGACTTTAACTGGCTGTTCATCTGCCTTTGCGCTGTGCTGCTGAGTACGCATGCCCAGTGTGGAACACATCTCACCACGCTAAAACAGTGGATGTGGCTCTTAATGAGACATGCCACATTATCACGGGGTGTCTGTGCCCTACACCACTGGAGAAATTACACTGCCTAGCCAGTATTGCACCACCTGACATCCGCTGGGAAGTAGCAGCCAATAGTGAAAGGACCAAGGCAGAGACATCTCCAGCTCATCCCCTGTTTGGGTATCAGCCATCACGTCAATGACTTAAATCTAGAAATAGTTTTCTAAGATCTACAGAGACACTCGCTGGAACACCCCAGCAAGAGAGAGTCCAAAAGTGGCAGGCTCAAACCCAGAACCTCAATTAATGGCTGAAAACTGGGCGACTTGGAAGGCGCTGAACAGACTGCGCTCTGGCACCACGAGACACAGAGCCAACCTTCAGAAATGGGGCTACAAAGTGGAATCCACGACATGCGAGTGTGGAGAAGAGCAAACTACAGACAATCTGCTGTGATACAACCTGAGCCCTGCCACATGCACAATGGAGAACCTTCTCGAAGCATCACCAGAAGCACTCCAAGTGGCCAGATACTGGTCAAAGGACATTTAATCAACTACCAAGCTTTCAAACTTTGTGTTCTGTATGTTTGTTTGTTTGTTTTTGTTAAAAATGTAATACAAATGTCTTGTTGCTGCTGACACGATAAATAAATAAACCGGCTGTTAGGAATTGTGGGAGTTGAAGTCCAAAACACTTGGAGGGCCCAACTTTGCCCATGCCTGGTCTACACTAACCATATCACGCAGTTTCAAACTACATGATACAGCAGTGAAGACCCAGCCTCTGACAAGAGGAATCTTCACAATCTGAGAATTATATCTACACAAAATTTGCAGATGGCTGCTTTAAACACTAAACAGTGTTTTCTGGAGGCAGTAATTTTTTTCGCACAAAAATATTTTTGTGTGCAGAAGGTATTTTTTTGTGCTGAAAAAGCTGTTTCATCTGCAGAAGATGCACTTTTTCTGTGCAAAATCACATACAGCACAACATTGCATGTTCACTTTGCTTCCACAACCATGGCCAAAAATGCATAGCTACATGAAGAAGAAAACTCACCACAAGGAATTCTATTTTACTGAGAAATGGGATGGATGATGCCTAAAATGCAACCTTCCTCACGTCTCTGAAGTAAGTAGGTTTGGAGGCCATAACACTGGCCTTATAGAGATCTACCTGATCTCTGCACACTCCCTTCCATCATACTTGGGCTGGGTTACATTTGAATACAAATTAAACAATAACAATAACAACCAGAGTATTTATATAACTTAGATGTAGATGATGAAATATTTAAGACATTTGCTACACCTTGGCTCCAGCCAGATGTTGTCTTTGTTAGCATCTGCTATTGAGGGCTATGTTTGCAAAGGGAGATCTTCCAGATTATCTGCAACAGCTTTCCTCTATACCCATCTGCACCTAGGGAAACACCCTTGTAATAAGAAATTCAATGTGCAGATTTGATAAATGTGAATTTAATAAGATGTGTGGGAATGAATGGAAGAATATATGTATGGATGGAGTTAATAATTTTGGAAACACCAGTATAATATTAAGGCCTGCAATGACTAACTACCTGCTTTCTGGACTGTAATTAAAAGTTGCTTGTGACAGCTGAAAAGGTAAACTTTGATAAGAACTGTGACAATGGTTCTTTCAAGTTAAGAGAAATGTTTGCAACATTCCTTATGATAAAAAGGAAGTCAACACCAATCAAGAAGAGTCAACATTTGGCCGGGAAACTGAGAAGGAACCAGGATGGAAGACGTCTATCATTAATTTACACCTTTGGGACTACAGCAGCAGAATATTCCTATAAAAGACTCAGTCTAATAATGCTCAAAGTGTGGCAGACCTGAGGAGTCTGTTCCACCCGCTGGGAAGGAGCGAGATGGTGGATTGGGAGAGTGTCAGATATGCTATGGGAAAGCACAGCACCAGGACTGTGGTGCAGTTGGCTGGGAGTCAGCTGCATTAAGATCACTACTGACCAAAAGATCATGAGTTCGAAGCCAGCCTGGGTCAGAGTGAGCTTCCGACCAATTTGTGTAGCCTGCTGTCGACCTTTGCAGCCTGAAAGACAGTTGCATCTGTCAGGTAGAAAATTTAGGTACCGCTTATGCGGGGAGGCTAATTTACGACACCATAAAAACCTCCAGCAAGCATGCAAAAAATGAGGAAGTATTACATCAGTGTCACATATGGACAGTGAAATGACAGCTCCCTTGGTGGCCAGAACCCCCTCATGAAAAAGCTGGAAAGTTAAATAGCCTCTGTGTGTCTGTCTATATATGTTGTGTGTCTATGGCATTGAATGTTTGCCATGTATATGTACATTGTAATCTGTCCTGAGTCCTCTGTGGGGTGAAAAGGGTGGAATATAAATACTGTAAATAAATAAATAAATAAATTGCAATAAAAAGAACTTATGCTTTAAAGCTATTGAAAAGTTATTCACAACAAATTGGTGTCAGATATGGGATATTCTTTTCTAGTGGGGGAAAGTTATTCATAACACCTTTGATGTGGTGATCCTTGAAGGCCTGCTCACAGGGAGAAGTGAAGGATGGTGTTATTCTCACCTGTTGAAAAAGGGGACCCGGGCTTCGCAGAATTCAAAAGCATTTTTCACGCTCTCGTGCAGCTTCAGGTGAATGGTGAACTTCCATTGCGACTCTTCATCTTTCAGCTGGTAAAATCCCAGAATGGGAGGAACAGGGACCTAGGCAGGAAGTGGATTTTGTTTGTTCATATTACTGTTTTAAGATCATCTTTGTGTGTTTTTAATCCAGGGTTACTGGGTTGTTGTAGGTTTTTAGGGCTATAGGGCCATGTACTAGAAGCATTCTCTCCTGGCGTTTCGCCTGCATCTATGGCAAGCATCCTCAGAGGTAGTGAGGTCTGTTGGAACTAGGAAAAAGGGTTTATATATCTGTGGAATAACCAGGGTGGGACAAAGGACTCTTGTATGTTGGAGCTATATGTGAATGTTTCAACTGACCACCTTGATTAGCATTTGATTGCCTGGCAGTGCCTGGAGCAATCTTATGTTGATAGTTGATTAGATGTCCTTGTTTGTTTCCTCTCTGTTGTTGTGCTGTTGTAATTTTTGAGTTTTTTAATACTGGTAGCCAGATTTTGTTCATTTTCATGGTTTCCTCCTTTCTGTTGAAATTGTCCACATGCTTGTGGATTTCAATGGCTTCTCTGTGTAGTCTGACATGGTGGTTGTTGGAGTGGTCCAGCATTTCTGTGTTCTCAAATAATATGGGATGTCCCAACCTCTGAGAATGCTTGCCATAGATGCAGGCGAAACATCAGGAGAGAATGCTTCTAGAACATGGCCATATTTGCCCAAAAAACCTACAACACCCCAGCGATTCCAGCCATGAAAGCCTTCGACAAGACATCCAGGGTTGGTTTATGGGTTTGTCTTTATTCTCTCTCTTTTGGTATGTGGTAAGCTACCCCAGGGCTTCTTTGGAGGTGTGTGATAAGAGTGCCAATTCCAAAACGAAATAAATTAAAATGGGACGGCAGCTTCCAGATGTCAGATATCAACTCTCCGATTGCTAAACGGAGAGATAATTAGGCAGCGAGTGCTTAATTCTGATGGAAAATAGGAATTAACAACTCATTTGCAAGCTAGATTCTCTAAACCCCTGATCAGCAGGGTGCTGTAAACATTTCCAGGATGGAGGCCAAAAACTCGCCCAATACCACACGCAACGCATATAATGACCGGGAGGACCACTGCGAGCATAAAGAGATGCCTATCAGCATCCCGGAATTGCGGAAGGATCCTTTCATTGTTCTGAGAAGACTAATGATTTTATAGGCAGGTACGGTGGCCATTTTGCATTTAGTCCACAAAAAGAAAACCTGGAAAAGATGAGCGCTTGTGTGCACAAATTCCGTATCTATTACCTATTTGTTTTCAGACAATAATTTTTGCACAAAGAGGCAGGCATTTCCTTGTGCCTTGATCCGCCATGAGCCTGCTAAGCATGCGCCGCCTTGAATAATTCCACTTCCGTCTGGACGCCATGTAATTTACGCACCTCAGTGTGGTTTTATTTTAAGAAACTTTCGTAAGCCTCTTTGGGAGCCTCCGGGGACTCGGATGTAAGTATTCTAAATTAAATTAAAATAAAAACGTGTAACAAAAATCCCCTGTTCATACTTCCTATCAACGTCCCCATTGCAGCACACCGAAATACCTGGGAGTCACTTTGGACCGTGCCCTGACCTACAAGAAGCACTGCCTGAACATCAAGCAAAAAGTGGGCGCTAGAAACAACATCATACGAAAGCTGACTGGCACAACCTGGGGATCACAACCAGACACAGTGAAGACATCTGCCCTTGCGCTATGCTACTCTCCTGCTGAGTACGCATGCCCAGTGTGGAACACATCTCACCACACTAAAACAGTAGATGTGGTTCTTAATGAGACATGCCGCATTATCACAGGGTGTCTGCGCCCCACACCACTGGAGAAATTACACTGCTTAGCCGGTATTGCACCACCTGACATCTGCCAGGAAGTAGCAGCCAATAGTGAAAGGACCAAGGCAGAGACATCTCCAGCTCAACCCTTGTTTGGGTATCAGCAAGCACGTCAATGACTTAAATCAAGATCTACAGAGACACTCGCTGGGACACCTCAGCAAGCGAGAGTCCAAAAGTGGCAGGTCCAAACCCAGCACCTCAATCTGTGGGTGATACCAGATGAGAGACTCCCCCCTGGGCAGACAGAGGACTGGGTGACTTGGAAGGCGCTGAACAGACTGCACTCTGGCACCACGAGATGCAGAGCCAATCTTAAGAAATGGGGCTACAGGGTGGAATCCACGGCATGCGAGTGTGGAGAAGAACAAACCACTGACCACCTGCTGCAATGCACCCTGAGCCCTGCCACATGCACAATGGAGGACCTTCTTGCAGCAATACCAGAAGCACTCCAAGTGGCCAGATACTGGTCAAAGGACATCTAATCAACTGCCAAGTTTGCAAAATCTGTGGGTTTTTAAAAATCTATTTGTTTGTTTTGTTCTGTTAGAAATGTAATACAATGGTATGGTTGCTGATGACACGATAAATAAAAATAAATATCAACGTCCCCTTCCTCTTTGCTTTATAGTAAGTACATAGGTCATGCCAGCCAAGCCGAGTGGACAGTGGCTCCTTAGGTGACCCCTTTAAGGTGATCTAAGGTAAAGGTAAAGGTTTTCCCCTTGACATTAAGTCCAGCCGTGTCTGACTCCGGAGGTTGGTGCTCATCTCCATTTCTAAGCCGAAGAGCCATTGTTTTCCGTAGACACCTCCAAAGTCATATGGCCAGCATGACTGCATGGCGTGCTGTTACCTTCCTGCTGGAACAGTACCTATTGATCTACTCACATTTGCATGTTTTCGAACTGCATGGCTGGCAGAAGCTCAGGCTAACAGCGGGAGCTCACCTCGCTCCTCAGATTCGAACCACCAACCTTTCAGTCAGCAAGTTCAGCAGCTCAGCGGTTGACCTCACAACCTCTGAGGATGCCTGCCATAGATGCAGGTGAAATGTCAGGAGAGATAATAGGAGCATAGTGTCTAGATCTAGGGAAGTCATGCTACCCCTCTATTCTGCTTTGGTTAGACCACACCTGGAATACTGTGTCCAGTTCTGGGCACCACAATTCAAGAGAGATATTGACAAGCTGGAATGTCTCCAGAGGAGGGTGACTAAAATGATCAAGGGTCTGGAGAACAAGCCCTATGAGGAGCAGCTGAAGGAGTTGGGCATGTTTAGCCTGAAGAAGAGAAGGTTGAGAGGAGATATGATAGCCATGTATAAATATGTGAGAGGAAGCCACAAGGAGGAGGGAGCAAGCTTGTTTTCTGCTTTTCCGGAGACTAGGACACGGAACAATGGCTTCAAACTACAAGAGAGGAGATTCCATCTGAACATGAGGAAGAACTTCCTGACTGTGAGAGCCGTTCAGCAGTGGAACTCTCTGCCCCAGAGTGTGGTAGAGGCTCTTTCTTTGCAAGCTTTTAAACAGAGGCTGGATGGCCATCTGTCAGAGGTGATTTGAATGCAATATTCCTGATTCTTGACATGGGGTTGGACTGGATGGCCCATGAGGTCTCTTCCAACTCTAGGATTCTATGAATGCTTCTGGAAATGGCCATTCAGCCTGATAAAACTTACAACAACCCAGTGATTCTGGCCATGAAAGCTTTCGATAATAGTTTGGATCTTGCTCAGAAAGTTAGGTAAATGGAGCAGAACATTTGTTCGGAGCGAGAGAAATGGTTTAACTGTGTACCTTGACAAGAATTAAAATTTAAATTGAGGGAACTCCCAGATGTTTCCCATACTCACAATTAGAATCAAATGCCTAGCAGAGTATCTTGTGAGTACACCTATTTTGTGAAATACCTTCATAATTAGATGTAATATTTATTTTCTGTATATGTAACTTTTAAATGCTTACAGCCACATTTCGTTCCTTTGGTCTAGATCCCACTAAAAATAAAAACCTATATTTCTAAGGGTAACAAATACCAAGTTTATAACCTTGTAAGTATCTTTAAACATGTTGAAATACATGATGCTGAATGGATGTATTGACAACAAATATTGATGTATATGATAAGTGTCAAGTTCATAACTTTGTTAATATTTTTATATGTGTCCTTATATGTGTTTATGTACATGATGTTCAGTGAATTGATTCGCAGCAAATATTGAGAGTCCTCTGGTGGACTGAAATCTATATGTATAAAAATGCTCTGTGCATAATGAGTACCTTAAAAACAAATGAACAAATGAACGAAATCACACCAAATTTGGCAACAAAACGTCTCACAATACAAGTAGTGACCATCACTCAAAAAATTATGATTTTGTCATTTGGGAGTTGTAGTTGCTGGGATTTATAGTTCACCTACAATCAAAGAACATTCTGAACTCCACCAACGATGGAATTGAACCAAACTTGGCACACAGAACTCCCATGACCAACAGAAAATACTGGAAGCGTCTCGTGCGCATTGACCTTCAGTTTGGGAGTTGTAGTTCACCTACATCCAGAGAACACTGTGGACTCAAACAATGATGGATCTGGACCAAACTTGGCACAAGCACTCAATACGCCTAAATATGAACACAGATGGAGTTTGAGGGAAAGAGACCTTGACATTTGGGAGTTGTAGTCACTGGGATTCGCAGTTCATCTACAGTCAAAGAGCATTCTGAACCCCACGAACGACAGAATCGGGGCAAACTTCCCACACAGAACCCCCATGATCAACAGAAAATACTTAAGACCATCCAATCCAACTTCCTTCATCAGGGCAAGAAAACTTAATCAAAGCCCTCCTGACAAATAGCCATCCAGTCATAGAGATAGACAGATAGATATAATTCATACACACATAGATATAGTATCATAGATTTGAAAGGGACCCCTAAAGAAGGACAATGATATGTTGCATGTTCCAGGGTGGGCAAACCAGACACTCTCCACATCAACACTGACAAAGAAACAGGAAGAAATACTGTTTACCCACAAGCATAAAGAAATTACATATATTAGAAACCAACATTTTCTCATTATTTTATTTTATTTTATTTTCCAGATCAACAGACTGGGCCACAGCAACGCATGGCAGGGGATAGCTATCTATCTATCTATCTATCTATCTATCTATCTATCTATCTATCTATCTATCTATCTAAATTTCAGTCCACCAGAGGAAGGCTTTGAGTGAGGCCGAAACTGGTCGTAGGCTCCGGATTTATGTTCAACTCAATGCAAGAACATACGCCGTTGATACTTTTTTGAGTGACTGTATAATATTGTTTTGTGAATGCTATGTTTTTGTACTATATAATAAGTTTCACCAGTCACATTATCGGCTGAACTGATTTATTTTCCTTTTTTGTGTACAAGTGGGCTATTTTGCTGTACGTATTAACTCAGGCAACAAAGATCCGCATAGTTAAAGCAATGGTATTCCACGTAGTCACCTACGGATGTGAGAGCTGGACCTTAGGGAAGGCTGAGCGAAGGAAGATAGATGCTTTTGAGCTGTGGTGTTGGAGGAAAGTTCTGAGAGTGCCTTGGACTGCGAGAAGATCCAACCAGTCCATACTTCAGGAAATAAAGCCCAACTGCTCATTGGAGGGAAGAATAGTAGAGGCCAAGATGAAGTATTTTGGCCACATCATGAGAAGAAAGGAAAGCTTAGAGAAGAGAATGATGCTGGGGAAAATGGAAGGAAAAAGGAAGAGGGGCCGACCAAGGGCAAGATGGATGGATGGCATCCTTGAAGTGACTGGACTGACCTTGAAGGAGCTGGGGGTAGTGACGGCCGACAGGGAGCTCTGGCGTGGACTGGTCCATGAAGACACAAAGAGTCGGAAACGACTGAACGAATGAACAACAACAACAACAACAATTAACTCAGGAACCCATTCATATTGTAAGCTACAGATGGTCACAGAAAATAGGAGATGCATGGCTATTGGATAGCAGAAGGAAGGTTTTGGGAATGTCTGGGAAGTTCTTGACCATACTTCCTCCTTCAATGCTGTCCCTACCTGGCTAAAATCCCCCAATGTGCCACCTTACCTGGGAAGTATAAAAGCAGAGGTTGAACAGGTCAGGAGGTGGGATGAGAGGGAATTTGTAAGGTCCGCTGAAAGCAGAGTCATCTAAGATGTCCACACTACTGGAGGTCAAGACGGCCGAGTCAAGGGATGTCACGCAAGGATGGACCAAAATGTCCTGGAGAGGAGAGCCATTGGCGGGGAGGTTCAAGCCGACCGTCACGTTGGGAGCAGTGCCTTCTATATCACACTTGAAAGACAACAAGGAAAGAAAGGCCTTTAGTACATGTTTGTTTATGCATTTCTATTCCTCTCTCTCCCCCCCCCCCCCCCCCCCAAATGAGTCTCGTCTTCCCTATTCTATCCTAACAACAACATTATGAGGTAGGTCAAGCTAGGAGGCATGGAGGCCCCATCTACATTGACATATGAAATCTAGATTATCTGCTTTGAACTGGATTATATGGCAGTGTAGACTCATATAATCCATTTCAAAGTAGAATGTGGATTGTCTGTTTTGATAATCTGGAGTGTATGGTAGTGTAGAAGGGGCCAGAGTGACACCTATCAATTTATTTATTTATTTACTATATTTGTACACCGCCCTTCTCAGCCCGCAGGTGACTCAGGCCCCTTCTACACTGCCATATAATCCACATTATCTGCTTTGAACAGGATTATATGAGGCTCCATTTACACTGTCATATAAAACCCAGATTATCTGATTTGAATTGGATTATATGGCAGTGTAGGCTAATATAATGCAGTTCAAAGATGATAATTTAGATTTTATATGACAGTGCAGATGCAGCCTCAGTCTACACTGCCATATAGAATCATAGAATCATAGACTCTAAGAGTTGGAAGAGACCTCATGGGCCATCCAGTCCAACCCCCTGCCAAGAAGCAGGAACATCGCATTCAAATAACCCCTGACAGATAGCTATCCAGCCTCTGTTTAAAAGCTTCAAAGAAGGAGCCTCCACCACACTCTGGGGCAGAGAGTTCCACTGCTGAACGGCTCTCACAAGTCAGGAAGTTCTTCCTCATGTTCAGATGGAATCTCCTCTCTTGTAGTTTGAAGCCATTGTTCCGCGTCCTAGTCTCCAAGGAAGCAGAAAACAAGTTCACTCCCTCCTCCCTGTGGCTTCCTCTCACATATTTATACATGGCTATCATATCTCCTCTCAGCCTTCTCTTCTTCAGGCTAAACATGCCCAGCTCCTTAAGCCGCTCCTCATAGGGCTTGTTCTCCAGACCCCTGATCATTTTAGTCACCCTCCTCTGGACACATTCCAGCTTGTCAATATCTCTCTTCAATTGGGGTGCCCAGAATTGGACACAATATTCCAGGTGTGGTCTAACTAAAGCGGAATAGAGAATGGGGAGCATTACTTCCTTAGATCTAGACACTATCAAAGCCGATAATCTGGATTTTATATGGCAGTGTAAAAGGGTCCTAAGTTTTATGGGCCTGGCAGTGTAGAAGTCCAAGGCCCTTCTACACTGCCATATAATCCAGATTATTAAAGCAGATATTCCACATTATCTGCTTTGAACTGGATTATATGAGCCTACACTGCCATATAAGCCGGTTCAAAGCAGATAATCTATATTGTGTAGAAAGGGCCCCAGTAAGGACTTCAAACTGGTGCACCAAATCCCAGTCCAATACAACAACCCAAAGCTGGACAAAGTGTGGCTTTTTGGATGTTATTGGACTGCAAGTCCTGAAAAAGTTTGGAGAGGCTCCCAGCTTTCCAGTTTCAAGTCATAAGCTTTCCAAGATACAGAACCAGGCTCTCCAGACTTGGTTCTCAACACTGCTTATGCTGGTTGGGAATGCTGGGAGCTGCAGTTCAGCCATACGTGGGGGCCCCCACTCTACTCACTCCTACATTAAAGGAAGTCTGGGGGTGCTAGCTGATGGACAGGAGAATTCTCTGGAACTGTTACATTAAAATACAAAATAATGATTATATAATTATAGAGAAGAAGACATTCCAAGATCTATTCAATCCTCCTTCATGTTTCCATGCAGGAAGACACAATCAAAGCACTCCTGACAGATGGTTATCCAGCCCCTGCTTAAAACCCTCCAAAGAAGGAGACTTCACCAGATTCTGAAGCAGCTGGAAATTCCACAGCTGAACAAATTTCACCGCAGGAAACCCTTCCTAACATTTAGGAATTTCACTGCAGGAAGCTGTGAGAGTTGTTCAGCAGTGGAACTCTCTGCCCCGGAGTGTGGTGGAGGCTCCTTCTTTGGAAGCCTTGAAACAGAGGCTGGATGGCCATCTGTTGGGGGTGCTTTGAATGCGATTTTCCTGCTTCTTGGAGAATGGGGTTGGACTGGAGGGCCCACGAGGTCTCTATGATTACATGATACGATGTTGTGTCTGCACTGAGCCACGGTCTCTCAGCTTCACCGATCTCACAGAGCTATTATAAGGATAAATAACACGAGGGTTGCGAGTTGGAAACTGTACAGTGAAAAGCGATACAGAAACGATAAATATATTAGCGGCAGCATCTTTCAACTCTTATTTAAGCCGGCAAAGCGAGGAGCAAGGTATGCAAGTGCATTACCGTAAAAAAGAAAAAAAAAAGAGTGAGATTTTCATGCCAGTTTAATTCACCAATTTTAAAAAAGCAGTATCTCCTCTAAGACATGCTGAAGCATTAGAAAATATTAAGTTCTGCTTCCCTTGCCGTATGCCGAGATAAAAAAAAATGAGCTGAACTTTTGCTTTTCCAGGTGCATTCATGTGTCAAATAGGTTAGAGAGATTTGCCCTGGAAAAAAAATTGTCTCACCTTGCAAGTTACCGTTCCGTAAACCTGCCACATGTCAGCCACGTCCCTTTTGTCGTACTGCACCGACTTGACTTTTTCGGTGATACAGACATTAACATGAGGCCTTCCCTTGTAGGAGCCGGTTCTCCAAGCCGGCGGCTTCTGATGGTGGCTACTTGGAGTGGAGGGGCCGCCCTCCAACAACGTAGGGTTCAAGTTTGCGTCGAGTGGGGTCCCCAAAGGACAGGCTTGCATGAGCAAGTTGGGAAGCTGGTTGATTTTGGTGGCCCTCTCCGCTTCGGTTTTCTGGCCGGAGCTCATGAAAGCCAGCAGTCCGGACAAGAGGTCAAAAGCCTGAGAGATGCCACTGATGTTGAAAAGCGGCGGAGGAGGGGTGGTAGGTTGCTCCACCAAAGGGAGGGCCACGTAAATCAACCCGCTCTTCTGGAAAGCCAACACGGGCCAGAGGTCTCCTCCTTCGGCTTGCAGAGCATACACAGAGGTCTTGTTGATCCGGGAACAGCTGTCCCTTCGCTCCACAAAGTGTTGGTCTCCGTCCGCCAACCTCAGTTCAAAGAGTAACGCTTTGAGGAAAGGGCCGTCTTCGGGGACGGGGACATAACTCGCTCCATTGAAGACCTTGGCTCGCCTTTCGACAGTAGGGTAACGCCTGGCATGCAAAAAAAAAAAAAAAAAAAAAAAAAAGAGAGGATAGTTGCAGTGTTAGAATTGTAGAGTTGGAAAAGACCCCAAAGACAACCCAGTCTAACCCCTAACAGGCATCCTCAAAACTGCGGCCGTCCAGGTGTTTGGGCCTCCAACTCCCAGAAGCCCTAATAAGCTTGTTCAATTATCAGTAATTCTGGGAGTTGAAGGCCCAAACAGCTGGAGGACTGTAGTTTGAGAACTTTCCTCCAACACCACAGCTCAAAAGCATCTCTCTTCCTTCGCTCAGCCTTCCCTAAGGTCCAGCTCTCACATCCGTAGGTGACTACAGGGAAGACCATGGCTTTGACTAGGCGGATCTTTGTTGCCAGTCTGATGTCTCTACTCTTTACTATTTTACCGAGACTGGACATTGCTCTCCTCCCAAGAAGTAAGCGTCTTCTGATTTCCTGGCCACAGTCTGCATCTGCAGTAATCTTTGCGCCTAGAAATACAAAGTCTGTCACGGCCTCCACATTTTCTCCCTCTATTTTCCAGTTGTCAATCATTCTTGTTGCCATAATCTTGGTTTTTTTGATGTTTAGCTGCAACCCAGCTTTTGCGCTTTCTTCTTTCACCTTGATTAGAAGGCTCCTCAGCTCCTCCTCGCTTTTGGCCATCAGAGTGGTGTCATCTGCATATCTGAGGTTGTTAATGTTTCTTCCAGCAATTTTCACCCCAGCTTTGCATTCATCAAGCCCCGCACATCGCATGATGTGTTCTGCATACAAGTTAAAAAGGTTGGGTGAGAGGATGCAGCCTTGCCGTACGCCTTTCCCAATCTTAAACCAGTCTGTTGTTCCGTGGTCAGTTCTGACTGTTGCTACTTGGTCCTTGTACAGATTCCTCAGGAGAGAGGGAAGGTGGCTTGGGATGCCCATCCCACCAAGAACTTGCCACAATTTATTATGATCCACACAGTCAAAGGCTTTAGAATAGTCAATGAAGCAGAAGTAGATGTTTTTCTGAAACTCCCTGCCTTTCTCCATTCTCCAGCGGATATTGGCAATCTGGTCTCTCATTCCTCTGCCTTTTCTAAACCCAGCTTGAACATCTGGCAACTCTCACTCCATGTCTTGCTGGAGTCTTCCTTGCAGGATCTTGAGCATTCCCTTCCTGGCATAAGAAATAAGGGCCACTGTACGGAAGTTGGAGCAGTCTTTTGCATTTCCCTTTTTTGGTATGGGGATATAAGTGGATTTTTTCCAGTCTGATGGCCATTCTTGTGTTTTCCATATTTGCTGGCATATCGCATGCATCACCTTGACAGCATCATCTTGACAGCATCTACTACAGTTGTATGTAGTTTTGTTAAATGTGTTAGGTTAATGCCTTTGCTTTATGTCATTCTGTTGTATGATGTAGTGGCTATTTAGACATCTGCTAAATAAAAATAAAATAACTGGGACCCTAAGCTGATGTTCTTCACTTTTCCACCTAAATCCAAGAAACAATGACAAATGTATTGTCGAAGGCTTTCATGGCCGGAATCACTGGGTTGTTGTAGGTTTTTTCGGGCTGTATAGCCATGGTCTAGAGGCATTCTCTCCTGACGTTTTGCCTGCACTTTGGCAAGCATCCTCAGAGGTAATCACTACCTCTGAGGATGCTTGCCAAAGTGCAGGCGAAACGTCAGGAGAGAATGCCTCTAGACCATGGCTATACAGCCCGAAAAAACCTACAACAACCCAACAATGACAAATGTTTACTGAAATTGATGGGACTGGACCGGCTTCAGTTCTCTCCTTGTTAACCACACTTTTGTGTTTAATTCTCTCCTTGTTCGGAGGTGTAAAAGAACCATCAAACCAACTGGAGAGCAGAATAACTGTAATTTCTTTTAAACAAATCGATTTAACTACTACGTTGTACAGTCTTTATTTTTAAAAGACTTCACTGCCAGAAACCAGATTCTCCCTCCGCCTGAAAATTAATGTAATTCCAAAATGTCAAGTTGACAGTCTCCCCTTAAAGTGCAGTAGGAATGAACAAAGGGGGATAATTGGCATTATGTAGAATCCACGTTTGAACCTGGCATGGTGGAAGGTTTTCACTTATTGTCTCTAATTCCCTTTGGGGCTGAAGGATGGCTAAAGTGTTCCCGAGGCGACAATGCAAACTGCAATTACGGCGCTGTACCTCGATAATCAGCATCACAGTTTGCGTAGAGATTATAGTCTCTTTATGTTTCGCTTTTCAGCTCTACAGATCACTTACTACAACGCAACCTGAGCCCTGCCACATGCACAATGGAGGACCTTCTCACAGCGACACCAGAGGTGCACTCCAAGTGGCCAGCTTCTGGTCAAAGGACATTTAATAGAATGCCAAGTTTAACTTTGTTTTTGTTTTAAATGCATTATAACTGTACCCTCTGACACAATAAATCTATATAAATAAAAATGTAATGTTCGTTTGTGGGATTAACACAACTCAAAAACCACTGAACAAATTGACACCAAATTTGGACACAAGAGACCTAACAACTCAATGTATGTCCTTCACTCAAAAAAACCCTGATTTTGTCATTTGAGAGTTGCACTTGCTGGGATTTATAGTTCACCTACAATCAAAGAGCATTCTGAACTTCACTAATGATGGAATTGAACCAAACTTGGCACAAAGAACTCCCATAACCAACAGAAAATACTGGAAGGGTTTGGTGTGCATTGACCTTGATTTTTGGAGTTGTAATTCACCTACATCCAGAAAGCACTGTGGACTCAAACAATGGTGGATCTGGACCAAACTTGGCACAAATACTCAATATGCCCAAATCTGAACACTGGTGGAGTTTGGGGACAATAGACCTTGACATTTGGGAGTTGTAGTTGCTGGGATTTATATTTCACCTACCATCAAAGAGCATTCTGAAACCTACCAATGATTGAATTGGGCCAAACTTCCTGCACAGACCCCCATGACCAACAGAAAATACTGTTTTCTGATGGTCTTTGGCGACCCCTCTGACACCCCCCTCGCGACCCCCACAGGGGTCCCGACCCCCAGGTTGAGAAACACTGCCTTAGACAGCTGCAAGTCGCTTCTGGCTAGTGCGTAGAAGAGCAAATCACAGATCTCTTACTACAACTCAACCTGAACCCTGCCACATGCACAATGGAGGACCTTCTCACAGCAACACCAGAGGTGCACTCCAAGTGGCCAGCTTCTGGTCAAAGGAGTTGTAGTTCACCTACATCCAGAGAGCACTGTGGACTCAAACAATGATGGATCTGGACCAAACTTGGCACGAATTCCCAGTATGCCCAAATGGGAACACTGGTGGAGTTTGGGGACAATAGACCTTGACATTTGGGAGTTGTAGTTGTTGGGATTATCATCTTTTCTAGTGAGCCCTGTCTTCTCATGGTATGTCCAAAGTATGACAGCCTCAGTTTAGTCATCTTGGCTTCTGGGGAAAGTTCAGGCCTGATTTATACCTAACCATTATGGCCACTCTTCCTGGTTTCTGCATGATTAATTCTTTTGGCCTCATTGCCCCATACTCTTCCTCCTGCATTGGACATAGCCAAATGCATCGGACACTGCTGAAATGCAGCAGAATTGTACTTCTTGGTAGGTTGCCAGTTGTGACTTTGCACAAATCATTATGCTCTTCTTCCCCCTTCAGCCTGCACCAGAAGATAGTTCTGCTAAACTGAATGATGCATTTGTCCAGGGACAAGCTGCCGGCTGTCTCTCTGACTCTCTGCTTGTTTCTTGTTATCTAGGACCGGTGACTCACGCAGAAACTCTTAAACTCAGGAGTGACATGTGCATCTGGCTGCACATCAGGAAAAAGAATGTGCCTCTGCAATCAGAAACCTGGGTTTATCACACGAACTTATGCAAGGACCGGGCTGTGGAGCAGGTAGCTGATAGCTAGCTGTATTAAATCACGACTGACTGAGATGTCAGGAGTTCGAAGCCAGCCCTGGTTGGAGTGAGCTTCCAGCCATTAGTCTAGCATGCTGTCGACCTTTGCGGCCTGAAAGACAGTTGCATCTGGTCAACCCCCCTGTTTTTAAAAAAATAATGAATTTTAATTCTTTGCAACTGGCCCAGCCCACTGTCATAAACTTTCTGTGTTATATTGTTTTTATATTGTTAGATGTGTGTATTTATATTGGTTTTGCATTTTATTTTTATTTTCTACTTTCTGCTGTGTACTTTTTGTATATTGTTTTATTGTCCTACCAGGCTTGGCCTCATGTAATGAGACAGGAACGGCCAAGACGATGGAACGGATGAGGATTTGAACGAGAGGACACAAATTTTTAAATTTTTTATTATTCATTGTTTTTGTATTGTATTGTAATGTTTCTTTTTTGCTTTTTATCAATGTATGTATTTTATATACTAGCCGTCCCCTGCCACGCGTTGCTGTGGCCCATATAGGGGTTTTGTGTGGGATGTTCGGCCGAATTCTATTGTTGGTGGGGTTCAGAATGCTCTGTGATTGTAGGTGAACTATAAATCCCAGCAACTACAACTCCCAAATGTCAAGATTCTATTTTCCCTAAACGCCACCAGTGTTCACATTTGAACATCTAGGCATATTGAGTATTTCTGTAGAGTTTGGTCCAGATCCATCATTGTTTGAGTCTACAGTGATCTCTGGATATAGGTGAACTATAACTCCAAAACCAAAGGACACTGCCCACCAAACCCTTCCGGTATTTTCTGCGGGTCATGGGAGAACTGTGTGCCAAGTTTGGTTCACTTCCATCGTTGGTGGGGTTCAGAATGCTCTTTGATTTTAGGTGAACTATAAATCCCAGCAACTACAACTCCCAAATGAAAAAAAATATTTTTTTTAAGTTAAGGACATACATTGGGTTGTTAGGTGTATCGTGACCAAATTTGGTGACATTTCGTCCAGTGGTTTTTGAGTTCTGTTAATCCCACAAACGAACATTACCTTTTTATTTATATAGATGGCATTGAATTGTGCCGACTTCGTATGCCACCCTGAGTCACCTTCGGGGTGATATGGGCGGGATAGAAATAATGTAAATAAATAAATAAATAAATAAATAAATGTAAGCCGCTCCGAGTCCCCTTGGGAAGACGGTGGCTAGGTATAAATAAAGTTTATTATTATTATTATTATTATTATTATTATTATTATATCTGTCAAGTAGGAAATTTAGGTACCAATTTACACGGGGAGGCTAATTTAACTAATTTACGACACCATAAAACCTTCCAGCAGCTTGCTGAAGAATGAGGAAGTACTCGGTGTCACAAATGGACGGTGAAGAGACAGCTCCCCCTGTGGCCGGAATTGAGCATAACCTCATGAAGGTGGAAAAAGCTGGAATGTTAAATTGCCTCTGTGTCTGTCTATATATGTTGTATGTCTAATTGGCATAGAATGTTTGCCATGTATATGTGCATTATAATCTACCCTGAGTTCTCTGCAGGGTAAGAAGGGCGGAATATAAATACTGTAAATAAATAAATAAACAAATAAATAAATAAGAATGGTTTTCTTTCTTTCACCACTCTACTCATAGAATGAGATGGTTCCTTCTTTGATGAGGGTGAAGGTTGTTCCTACCGGCTGTTAGGAATTGCAGGAGTTGAAGCCCAAAACACCTGGAAGGCCAAGTTTTCCCATACCTAGTATATAGAGTAAAATGTACATCTCAGCCACTCAAACAGATTGAGCTGGTAGTTCTTGTTTGTGACACTACGATGAGGAGGAGTGTGCTAGCTGAAGGGCTGGTTGTTTACCTTGCTATTCCCTCTATACTTACACAATAGAAACTAAACCACACAGGAAAACAAACACAACATCTATCTATCTATCTATCTATCTATCTATCTATCTATCTATCTATCTAGTATCTATCTATCTATCTATCTAAATAAATAAATAAATAAATAAATAAAAATGTAATGTTCATTTGTGGGATTAAAATAACTCAAAAACCACTGGATGAATTGCCGCCAAATTTGGCCACAAGACACCTACTAACCCAAGGAGTGACCATCACTCAAAAAAATTGATTTTGTCATTTGGGAGTTGCAGTTGCTAGGATTTATAATTCAACTATAATCAAAGAGCATTCTGAACTCCACCAATTATGAAATTGAACCAAACGTGGCACACAGGACTCCCATGACCAACACCAAATTTGGACACAATACACCTTTCAGGTCAACGAGTGACCATCACTCATAAAAACACTGAAAAACACAGCAGATGAGACTTAAAAAGCCAAAAAAAAAAAATACATTACAACGCATGTGCAAAACAACATACATATACACAAACACATATATACACAAATATACACACACAGAAAACACATATATACAGACTGGGCCACAGCAACGCATGGCAGGCGATGGCTAGTATAAAATACTTACGTACAGGCAGTCCCAAGTTACAAACATCCAACTTACAAATGACTCCTAGCTAAGAACAGGGGTGAGGCAACAGGAAGTGGGAGAAATCCACCCTCAGAAGGGAAATTCACTTCTGGAAGAGTTTTTTTTATCATGGAGTAAGGCAGTCTGCAATGAAGCTTCATCTCCAAGTTTTTCAAAATCCAATTCTCACAGGGACAGAAAGTGCAGTAAAATCTTCTGAACGGGGCACAGACAGCAAAGGAAACACCACAGAGTGTTAATCCTTCTCTATACTATCCAAAGTCTTCAAATATATATATGAAATACATATCAGAACAGGTACAAAAATGAAATAGGTATGAATACAATATATATGTAATTTTAGGTCTCATGTTTACAATGCGTTGTTTGATATCGGTTTACTTTGGTATTCGGATTGGGTCATTTAATGTAGTTATGTTTATGGCTGTTTTATTGGGAAAGGCGTACGACAGGGTTGTATACTCTCCCCCAACCTATTCAACTTGTATGCAGAACACATCATGTGATGTGCGTGGATTGAGGAATGCAAAGCTGGGGTGGAAATTGCTGGAAGAAACATAAACAAAACAGCCTAGGATGTGCAGATGACACACTTTGATGGCTGAAAGCAAGGAGGAGCTAAGGAGCCTTCTAATCAAGGTGAAAGAAGAAAGCGCAAAAGCCAGGTTGCAGCTAAACATAAAAAACCAAGATTATGGCAACAAGAATGATTGACAACTGGGAAATAGAGGAAGAAAACGTGGAGGCCGTGACAGTCTTTGTATTTCTAGGCGCAAAGATTACTGCAGACGCAGACTGTGGCCAGGAAATCAAAAGACGCTTACTTCTTGGGAGGAGAGCAATGTCCAGTCTCCATAAAATCGTAAAGAGTAGAGACATCACACTGGCAACCAAGATCCGCATACTTAAAGCAGTGGTATTCCCCATAGTCATCTACGGATGTGAGAACTGGACCATAGGGAAGACTGAGCGAAGGAAGAGAGGCACTTTTGAACTGTGGTGTTGGAGGAAAGTGATGAGAGTGCCTTGGACTGCGAGAAGATCCAACCAGTCCATCCTCCAGGAAATGAAGCCCGACTGCTCACTGGAGGGAAGGATGTTGTTGTTCATTCGTTCAGTAATCTCTGACTCTTTGTGACCTCATGGACCAGCCCACGCCAGAGCTCCCTGTCGGCCGTCACCACCCCCAGCTCCTTCAAGGTCAGTCCAGTCACTTCAAGGATGCCATCCATCCATCTTGCCCTTGGTCGGCCCCTCTTCCGTTTGCCTTCCACTTTCCCCAGCATAATTGTCTTCTCTAGGCTTTGCTGTCTCCTCATGATGTGGCCAAAGTACTTCAACTTTGTCTCTAGTCTCCTTCCCTCCAGTGAGCAGTCGGGCTTTATTTCCTGGAGGATGGACTGGTTGGATCTTCTCGCAGTCCAAGGCACTCTCAGAACTTTCCTCCAACACCACAGCTCAAAAGCATCGATCTTCCTTCGCTCAGCCTTCCCTAAGGTCCAGCTCTCACATCCGTAGGTGACTACAGGGAATACCATGGCTTTGACTAGGCAATGGATCTTGGTTGCCAGTGTGATGTCTCTGCTCTTTACTATTTTATCGAGACTGGACATTGCTCTCCTCCCAAGAAGGAAGCGTCTTCTGATTTCCTGGCCACAGTCTGCATCTGCAGTCATCTTTGCACCTAGAAATACAAAGTCTGTCACGGCCTCCACATTTTCTCCCTCTGTTTGCCAGTTCAAGGTGAAAGAAGAAAACGCAAAAGCTAGGTTGCAGCTAAACATAAAAAACCAAGATTATGGCAACAAAAATGATTGACAACTGGGAAATAGAGGAAGAAAACGTGGAGGCCGTGACAGGAAGAGGGGTCGACCAAGGGCAAGATGGATGGATGGCATCCTTGAAGTGACTGGCTTGACTCTGAAGGAGCTGGGGGAGGTACTAATCAAGGTGGTCAGTTGAAACATTCACACCTAGCTCCAACATACAAGAGTTCTTTGTCCCACCCCGGTCATTCCACAGATATATAAACCCAATTTTCCTAGTTCCAACAGACCTCACTACCTCTTAGGATGCTTGCCATAGATGCAGGTGAAATGTCAGGAGAAAATGCCTCTGGAACATGGCCATATAGCCCGAAAAAACCTACAACCTATTGTTTTAATTGTTTTTAACTGTTTTATGATGAACATGGCCCGACAGATGGCCATCTAGACCTCACTACCTCTGAGGATGCTTGCCATAGATGCAGGCGAAACGTCAGGAGAAAATGCCTCTGGAACATGGCCATATAGCCCGAAAAAACCTACAACCTATTCTTTTAATTGTTTTTAACTGTTTTATGATGAATTTTGCTATTGATAACCGCTTTGAGTCGTCTGAGGGCTGAGAAGAGCAGTATACCAATATAGTAAACAAACAAACAAATAAATAAAATGTGCTGCAAAATCTCCCATGAAAACAATATTTTTTTTTGCATTTTTTAGCCCGAAAAAACCTACAACAACCCAATTTTTTTGCAGTTTATTCAACTTTCTCCATGTTTTTAAGACAGAATCAATTAGGAAATGACATTGCTAACCCAGGAACAAGAATCTTGTTTACATAGTGTAATTAAGCCATCATAGAAAGGGTGATGGTCTAAAGAGGGTAGGAGGAAACTGGGGAAAGCTGACAAGTCCCAGGATCTCATAGCACTGAGGTATGGCAGTTAAAGCGGTTTCAAACTGGGTTAATTCCACAGTGTAGATGCACCCATGGATTGCCATAGATTTACCTGGAGAAGAGCAGGCTGCCATGTGCTCCTTGTTCGTGGCTGACGAGCCACAGTCCTCTCAAAGCCATGATTCTTGCCAGGATCACCCCAAATCTCTTCTGAAAGACACCATCTTCCTGGAGGTTTCCTGCTTAGTTTGGGCCCACAAGGAAGAGAAAGCGGCTTCCGCAGACAGAACTGGCTTGTAACTGTATCACTCTATAATTATCGCTCTATGTGCCTTCCCGTTGGACTCTGGGGCTTGTAGTTTAATGACGCCAAGGTGTTGCTTAGCTGGCGTTCTAATCGCCCCTCCCTTAAACTTCAAATCCCGGCATTCCAATCGGTGGAACGTAGAGCTACAAAGGTGTGTTTCTCCGCTCTTCTCATTTGGACTTCAATTCCCAGAAGCACTTCTCATTGACCAAAGCAGCCGAGGCTTCTGGGAGTTGGAGTCCAAAGAACCTGGAAGCTAAAAGAGTGATAATCAGGCATGCATTGAACTGGGTTACATGACAGTGTGGACACAGATAACTCAAGCCCCTTCCACATTGCTGCATACAATCCACGTTGAACCGGATTATATGGCAGTGTGGACTCAGATAACCAGATATTGTGGATTATCTGACTTGACATTTTGGCTTGCCCATTGTGTTCAATTTTCTATTATGCCATTTTGTTCTGTCTATTTTATTTATGTACTTTATTGTGATGTCATTTTTCTTGTTGTGTTTTGCATGGATGATACGACTTGATATTCCGAATTATATGGCTGTCTGGAAGAGCCTGAGGATGAATAATGGGTTGGCAGAGGCTGCTGATTGATTGTTACCAGTTGGACTTCAACTCCCAGAATCCTTGTCCATTGACTAAACCAGCCGAGGATTCTGGGAGTTGAAGTCCAACTGGTAACAATCCCCGGCGTTCCATTAGAGGTTATTTATTTATTTATTTATATTTGTCATGTCAGAGCAGCCAGTCCATTATATTACATTTCTAACAGAACAAAGCCAACAAACTGAAAAATACACAACTTGTGAGTTTGGTAGCTGTTTAAATGTCCTTTGACCAGTATCTGGCCACTTGGAGTGCTTCTGATGTTGCCGCAAGAAGGTCCTCCATTGTGCATGTGGCAGGGCTCAGGGTGCATTGCAGCAGGTGGTCAGTGGTTTGCTCTTCTCCACACTCGCATGTTGAGGATTCCACTTTGTGGCCCCATTTCTGAAGGTTGGCTCTGCATCTCGTGGTGCCAGAGCGCAGTCTGTTCAGCGCCTTCCAAGTCACCCACTCTTCTGTGTGCCCAGGGGGGAGTCTCTCATTTGGTATCAGCCATGGATTGAGGTTCTGGGTTTGAGCCTGCCACTTTTGGACTCTCGCTTGCTGAGGTGTTCCAGCGAGTGTCTCTGTAGATCTTAGAAAACTATTTCTAGATTTAAGTCGTTGACGTGCTGGCTGATACCCAAACAGGGGATGAGCTGGAGATGTCTCTGTCTTGGTCCTTTCACTATTGGCTGCTACTTCCCGGCGGATGTCAGGTGGTGCAATACCGGCTAAGCAGTGTAATTTCTCCAGTGGTGTAGGGCGCAGGCACCCCGTGATAATGCGGCATGTCTCATTAAGAGCCACATCCACTGTTTTAGTGTGGTGAGATGTGTTCCACACTGGGCATGCATACTCAGCAGCAGAGTAGCACAGCACAAGGGCAGATGTCTTCACTGTATCTGGTTGTGATCCCCAGGTTGTGCCAGTCAGCTTTCGTATGATATTGTTTCTAGCACCCACTTTTTGCTTGATGTTCAGGCAGTGCTTCCTGTAGGTCAGAGCACGGTCCAGAGTGACTCCCAGGGATTTGGGTGTGCTGTAATGTTCCAGTGTGATTCCCTCCCAGGTAATCCTCAGAGTTTGGGATGCTTGTCTGTTCTTAAGGTGAAAGGCGCATGTCTGTGTTTTAGATGGGTTGGGGATCAGCTGGTTTTCCCTGTAATAGGCAGTGAGAGCACCTAGAGCTTCGGAAAGCTTCTGTTCTACCATCTCAAAGCTGCCTGCTTGAGCGGTGATGGCACGATCATCAGCATAGATGAAACTCTCTGTCCCTTCTGGCAGTGGCTGGTCATTTGTTTTGTATGGATGATACGACTTGATATTCCAATTATATGGCTGCCTGGAAGAGCCTGAGAATGAATAATGGGTTGGCAGAGGCTGCTGATTGATTGTTACCAGTTGGACTTCAACTCCCAGAATCCTTGACCATTGACCAAACCAGCCGAGGCTTCTGGGAGTTGAAGTCCAACTGGTAACAATCCCCGGCGTTCCATTAGAGGTTATTTCATATCAATCAGCTGCTCAAGACCCGCCTTTTCCTCTCAAAACTTATTCCCAGTCATGGGCAAACTTCGGACTTCAACTCCCAGAATCCTTGTCCATTGGAGAAGGCAGCCGAGGATTCTGGGAGTTGAAGTCCGAAGGGGGGTGGGAATAAGTGAATAAGACTGGGAATAAGTGTTGAGTGGAAAAGGCGGGTCTTGAGCAGCTGATTGATATGTGATGGAACGCCGGGGATTGTAGTCCAATGAGACCCAAGCGCCGCCTAATTGAAGGCTGGAAAGGTGACCCCGTAAACTCCAAATCCCGGCATGCTGTTGGCAGGAAACATAGAGCTATGACAATCAGTGTTGAAAGAGTTCTGAGTGACTGACTGAGTGACAAGGGCGGAGTCGCCGCAGAGGCCTAGTCGGCGAAGGTCCGCCCGGCGGTGGAGTTGTGTTTTCTGTCTGCCTGTCTCTCTCGGCGGAGCGGATGGAGGAGGCGTCGGCCTGGCGGCGGGCGCCGGGGAGCGGCCTGAGGGGGCGGCTGAGGGACAAAGACGGGGGCGGCTCGGCGGGGCTGCACGGCAACATGGCCGCCGTCACGCCCGACCTCTTCGAGGTAAGTGGAGCAGGAAAGGCCCCGGCTTCGTCTCTGAAGGGAAGGAGGGTAGGCCGCGCAGGAGGAGGAAGGAGAGGGAAGACGGGGTGGCAGGTCATCATGGTAGTGCGGGTGAAGAGTAACAATAAGAATGATAATAGGAATAATAGTCACAATAGGGAGGGTGAACAATATTAATAATATTTATTATAATTATTATAATTACTAATAATTACTAATATAATTATAATTATTATAATATTAATATTGTATTATAATTATTAATATAATAGGAATAATAGTCATAATAGGGAGGATGAACAATATTAATAATAATTATTATTTATTATAATTATAATTATATTAATAATTAGTAACAATAAGAAGGATAATAGGAATAATAGTCATAATAGAGAGGGTGAACAGTATTAATTATAATTATTATTTATTATAATTATTATAATTATTATAATTATTAATATTTTTATTATTATAATTAATATAATATTAATATTGTATTATAATTATTAATATTTTTCACCCTCCATATTATTACTATTATTCCTATTATCATTAATTATTAATATTATTAATATTGTTATTATTATAACTAATATAATATTAATATTGTATTATAATTATTAATATTGTTCACCCTCCGTATTATTACTATTATTCCTATTATCATTCCTATTATTATCACTAATTATTAATATATTTAATATATGCTGTGCTAATAATATAATGTAATATAATATATTGTATATACATATAATATTTATAGTATTATAATGTAATGCAATATTATACTACTAATAATATGATATTATAATTATTTTAATATTGTATTATAATTATTAATATTGTTCACCCTCCCTATCATTACTATTATTCCTATTATCATTAATTATTAATATATTTAATATATGCTATCCTAATATAATATAATGTAATATAATATATTGTATATACATATAATATTTATAGTATTATAATGTAATGCAATATAATACTAATAATATATTATAATTATATTAATATTGTATTAAAATTATTAATATTGTTCACCCTCCCTATTATTACTATTATTCCTATTATCATTACTATTACTCCTATTATCATTAATTATTAATATATTTAATATATGCTATGCTAATAATATAATATAATGTAATATAATATATTGTATATATATATATAATATTTATAGTGTTATAGTGTAATGCAATATAATAAGATATAATTAGATAGTTATATTACATGTAATATTACTAATATTACAATATAATGGTATAGTACAATATGGTAATATTTAATACTGATATTGTACTCTGCTAACAATATAATATATTGCATATATTGTGTATATGCACAATAAAATATTGTGCGTACATATAATATTTATAGTATTAAAATGTAATGCAATATAATACTAATAATATGATATTATATATTTATATTGCATGTGATATTACTAATAATATTACAATATAATGGTATAGTACAATATAGTAATATTTAATACTAATATTGTACTCTGCTAATAATATAATATATTGTATATATATCTTGTGATTGTGACAATAGCAATAATAAGAATAATAAGAATAGTAATAATAGGTAGGGCAAATAATATTAATAATGATTGTTATTAATATATTTAATATATGCTATGCTAATAATATAATACAATAATAGAATATATTGTATATGCATATAATATTTATAGTATTATAATGTACTCCAATATAATACTAATAATATATTATAATTATATATTTATATTGCATGCAATATTACTAATAATATTACAATATAATGGTATAGTTCAATATAGTAATTTTTAATATAATATATTGTATGTGTATGTATCTTGTAATTGTGACAATAGCAATAATAAGAATAATAAGAATAGGGAGGATGAATAATAATAATAATTATAAGTGTAACAATAATAATAGTAATAATAGGGAAGGTGAATAATAGTAATTATTATTATATTGAATATATGCTATGCTAATAATATAATATAATGTAATGTAATATATTATATATACATATAATATTTATAGTATTATAATGTAATGCAATATAATACTAATAATATATCATAATTATATATTTATATTGCATGTAATATTACTAATAATATTTCAGTATAATGGTATAGTACAATATACCACCGGGATTGTGGTGCAGCTGGCTGAGTGTCAGCTGCATTAAGATCACTCTGACCAAAAGGTCATGAGTTCGAAGCCAGCCTGGGTTGGAGTGGGTTTCCAACCAATTGTGTAGCCTGTTGTCGACCTTTGCAACCTGAAAGACAGTTGCATCTGTCAAGTAGGAAAATTAGGTACCACCTTAAAGTGTGGGGAGGCTAAATTAACTAATTTATGAGGCCATAAAAAAAAAAAGACTCCAGCAAGCACTCCAGCAAAAAGCATGCGGGGAATGTGGAAGTACTTCATCAGTGTCGCAGATGGACAATGAAAGCGACAGCTCCCCTGGCGGCCAGAAAAAGTTAAATAGCCTCTGTGTATGTCTGTATATGTTGTATGTCAAAAAAATTGGCATTGAATGTTTGCCATATATGTGTACACTGTAATCCGCCCTGAGTCCCCTGCGGGGTGAGAAGGGTGGAATATAAATACTGTAAATAAATAAATAAATAAAGTAATATTTAATACTGATATTCTACTCTGCTAATAATATAATATATTGTATGTATATATATCTTGTAATTGTGACAATAGCAATAATAAGAATAAGAAGAATAGGGAGGATGAATAGTAATAGTAATAAAAAATAATAATAATAGTAGTAGTAATAATAATAATAATAATCTTCTACCCCACCACCATCTTCCCAATGGGGACTCGGGGTGGCTTACATGAGGCCAAGCCCAAGCACAGATTACAACAGAATAAAACCGAAAACACAAACTGAAAACGCAGACAATAACATCATAATTACATAAAACATGTGAAAACATAATGATATAAAATTACAATAAACACATCACAGTGACAAGGGCGGGTTACATGTAATGTTTAAAAGAAAAACTGATTTAAACTAATTGAAACTCAAGTGAGATAAAGGAGAAGCAGGTTATTTGCGGAGGGGAGCTCATTATAGCGGAGGTTGTGGAATCACAGTAATAACAGTAATAATAGCAGAATAATAATAATAATAATAATAATAATAATAATAAGAAAATATAATTTATTATGGGGTGTTGCCTTGGTTCTAAATAGGCAGGGAGGGGATAGGATGGATATAATAATGATAATAGTAATAATAACAACAACAGCAGCAATATGTGTGGCTGCCTTGGTCTTAAATAGGGAAGTAGTGAGAAGGATAAATATAATAATGATAATATAATTTATTATGGGGGTCTGCTTTGGTCCTAAATAAATATAATAATAATAATCACTGGCCATCCCCATCTGTCTTGAAAACAGTGTATGTGGAAGAAGTTTAGAAATCTTGGTAGGTCACAAACTGAACATGAGTAAGCAGTGTGGTGTGGCAGGTAAAAAAGCAAATGCAATTCTAAGATGCATCCATAGGAGTGTAATGTCTAGATCAGTGGTTCTCAACCTGTGGGTCTCTGGATGTTTTGGCCTACAATTCCCAGAAATCCTAGTCAGTTTACCAGCTGTTAGGATTTCTGGGAGTTGAAAGCCAAAACATTTGGGGACCCACTGGTCTAGATCCAGGGAAGTAATAACCCCATTTTCTTCTGCTTTGGTCACCTCACCTGTAATCCAGTTCTGGGTACCACGAATCAAGAAGAATATGAACATCCTGAAGGGCCACCAAAATGATAAAATCCAAACCCTATAAGGAGTGGCATAAAAATGTTGAATTTGGATAAGAGAAATTTGAAAGAGGACATGATAATCATGCATAAATGTTCATGCCATATTGAGAAGAGGGCAAGATAGTTTTCTGCTTCTGTAGAGTAGGGCACAATGGAGCAATGGTTTCAAATAGAAGGAAATGAGATTCCACCTAAACATTAGGAAGAACTTCCTAGTTTAAGGGCTCCTTGGCATGGAATATGCTGCCTGGGAGTCCAGTGGAGCCTCTTTATCTGGATGTTTTTAAGCAGAGGCTGGAGGGCCATCTGTTAGGAGTGGTGGGTTTTGTTTTTTTGTTTTTTTTGGAAGGGGGAGGGGTGTTCTCAAAAGACAATGGGGCTGGAGTGGATGGTCCTTGTGATCTCTAACTCTACGATTCTATGATCCAAGGCAGGATGCTAACTGGGTTCTCAGAGAAAGCTTGCAGCAGCCCATATAGGCTATTTCTGGGAATGATTCATCTAGGAATACCCCAAGCAACATGTTTGCTTCTTGGGAGGGAATGTGGCTTATATTTTCACCGGATTGTAAATACCTCACCTGGACAAAGGAGTGAACTATCTGTGAAGCCTTTCTGCATTGGCTCTCATCTGTTCATTACTAAAACCAGACGCTAGTTCAGCATTTCTGCAGTCAACACCTGCTTGAGCTGAAAAGAAGCAGAGTTGCATGCTGACGGTACTGGTAGTATCACATTGCAACAGATTTTGCATCCTTCTCCCTCACCCTTGTAAAATGGGTCGGGAGACCAACAGGTTCCTAAATTACCACCAGATAATGGTCGTTTAAATGTACATACGGTACGAATTATATTATTGTGATCTCATTTGTCAAAACAGTAGATAGTATAAGTTGCTGTTTTCCTGCCTCCTTGATAACAAGTTTGGAAGGCAAAATAGGGCTTTGAACTTGAGGTGCAGAATGTTGTGTTGTCCATCTCTACCCGATTTGATCTTAATATCTCAGACTCTCATATAATAATTGCAATTAGACTAACAGGAATATAAATGAATGACTTGAAGATCAAGATTTGACTGTTTTCTTTGCCCACCAATCTTGCAATACAACTTGGTATACTGTAGGCATGAAGGAACTTGTGTATCTGCTGGGTTATGTCTTTTGTTGATAATTAAATGTCAAGAACTAGTTCTTGCCCTAACCAGTTCCTGCAGTTATGAGATCTTTCTGTTAATTTATTTCTTCTGTTGAACTAATTTGATATTGCTTTAGATTTTTTAAATAATTCTTGACAGATTCTACAGAGATATATGGAGTTAATTTGGCTAAATTACTTTAATGTGTTTTAGAAATGAAAAAAAAAATCTTTAAGTTCAAATATATTGAAACATTCACACCTAGTTCCAGCAGACAAGAGTCCTTTGTCCCACCCTGGTCATTCCACAGATATATAAACCCCTTTTCCTCGTTCCAACAGACCTCACTACCTCTGAGGATGCTTGCCATAGATGCAGGCGAAACGTCAGGAGAGAATGCCCCAGAACATGGCCATATAGCCCGAAAAAACCTACAACCCAGTGATTCTGGCCATGAAAGCCTTTGACAATACATCAAATTTATTTATTTATCGTATTAGGAGCAAACCAAGGGTACAGTTGTATTGTATTAGAAAAATAAAAAGGAAAATACAAAGTTTGAAAACTTGGCATTATATTAAATGTCCTTTGACCAGTAGCTGGCCACTTGGAGTGCCTCTGGTGTTGCTATAAGGGAATCCTCCATTGTGTATGTGGCAGGGCTCAGACTGCATTGTAGTAGGTGGTCTGTGGTTTGCTCTTCACACTCGCACATCATAGACTCCACTTTGTACCCCATTTTTTTAGGTTGGCTCTGCATCTCGTAGTGCCAGAGCTCAGTCTTTTCAGCGCCTTCTAAGTCGCTCAGTCTTCTGTGTGCCTAGGTGGGAGTCTCTCATTTGGTAACAGCCATGGATTGAGGTTCCAGGTTTTAGCCTGCCTCTTTTGGACTCTTGCTTGCTGAGATGTTCCTGCGAGTGTCTATGTAGATCTTAGAAAACTATTTCTTGATTTAAGATGTTGGCATGCTGGCTGATATCCAAACAGGGTATGGGCACAGGGATGTCACTGCCTTGGTCCTAGATAACACATTAAAAAAAGATTTTTGGGCAATGCCAACAGTACAGCCAGTGATGTGTAGAAAGCTGAGTTTTCTTAATGGTTTTATCATGTTGGGATATACAGTTTATACATGTATAGCAGGAAGGAGAGTATGAAAGAACGTGAAGATAGTAATGGGGAAACGAGAACTGCAAGTTTGCTGGAGAAATATTAATTTTGAAATGGGACAGGAAAAAATTGCTGCTGAAGCACTTGGCTCCCCATTCTTAGAAACAGTGAATCATGGATTATTTGGGCTGTTTATATGCTACAGTGAGTTAGTGAAACAGGAGGAATTTGGTGTGCACTAAAGTACTCTTTAGTCTGAGTTACGGCACCTCTTTGAGATTTTGGGATGAACATAATTGCCTACCATCCTTTAAATTGGAGATACTGACAATCTAACTTGGACATGTATAAACCAAAGCCTGTAATTTACAGCAGTGTTCTGTCCTCCATTCCTAAGTAGCATCAGGTTAAAAGGAACAAAATGAACAGAATGATGGTGGGAAAGGCGAGAGCATGATCCGATGAACATGAGCAACAATTTCAGCAATTCCTTATCCAATTCACATTTCTTTTGAGCTACTCAGTGGGAAGGGATCTGTCTCCAAAGCTTTAGTATAGTATGGTCTTCAGTATGGACTCAGTGCTATGGACTCATAGGAGTTATACTTTTACCATGTTTTAGTCTTCTCTCTCTGAGAGTGCTAGTGCCTCACCAAACTACAACCCCTAGGATGCCATAGCATTGAGCCATGACAGTTTAAGTGGTGTCAAAGTGCATTAATTCTACTGTGTAGATGTACCTATTGTTGAAGAGAAACACTTTGAGCCTATGCCATGATAGAGCTTTGAAGTAAATGACAGGCCCTGGACTGTAGAAGGTTGGAAAACCTTGTTTAAGATGTATTGTCGAAGGCTTTCATGGTTGGAATCACTGGGTTGTTGTAGGTTTTTCCAGGCAATATGACCATGTTCTAGGGGTGTTCTAGAGGCATTTTCTCCTGACGTTTTGCCTGCATCTGTGGCAAGCATCCTCAGAGGTAGTGAGGTCTGTTGGAAGTAGGAACCCTATAAACCCATTTTCCTACTTCCAACAGACCTCACTACCTCTGAGGATGCTTGCCATAGATGCAGGCGAAACGTCAGGAGAAAATGCCTCTAGAACATGGCCATATTGCCCGGAAAAACCTACAACAACCCACTTGTTTAAGATGTTTTCCATTTAAAAAAAAATATCATTTTTATACTTGGTCCACAAAAGTGAAATGTACTATTAGATATAATATGAAGTATCTTTATCTGTAGAAGGTATATTCTGTAGAAAGGCTGTGTGCTTTGTAGGTTGACATGTAACCAACATGTACCTTGCATTTCCCACTGCTGTTTGCTGCAAAAGAGCCTCTTTGTCTTGTTTGGGCAGGAGCCCTTTGTGGCAGATGAATACATTGAACGCCTGGCATGGAGGACTCCTGGTGGGGGTTCCCGGGGAGGCATGGAAGCCTTTGATCCCAAAAGGTAAAAATAGTATTTTTAACCATCTCTCACATAAAGTACAACTAGAACTCAAAAACATCCCTGTGTTACTCTGGAATATCAGTAGGCATAGGGATTATGTAGCACCTTAGAAACTAATTGAGTGAACGAAATTGGTAGCATAAGCTTATGTGGACTAGAGGCCCATCTACATGGGCCGCATATCCTGAATGGCAGAAAGGTCATTGTGGCATCAACATGACATACAGGGCCTTCTCACCCCCAGCATGCAGCAAAGCGACAAGTATATTATTGATTGATAAAGAGTTTTGCAGAAGAAACTGTTAGCCTTTAATGGCTTTTGAGTCTTTGCTCTCTGCCCAGCCAAGGATTCCTTTAGTATAGATGTAGTAATAATAATGCACTTTATAGAGATGGCCTGTGATCAACTTAGGAGATGTGCCTCAGATTTATTTTATTGTCTGGACAATTGCTAGGATAAGGCAATACCTGACTATAGGTTATACCATGAAGCCTGATGAGGCAAAATTTCTTGCTCTGTTTACATTGGTCCAGAGACACGATGGCCTTCATTAGTTTAATTCCAGGCCAAATGCTTGCTAAAGAAATGCCCTATCATGGGTCAAATGAAAGACCTTTTCGTGTAACTACAGAGTGGTATGTATGACCCGCAAGGGACGACAGTAAGATACAAATGTTGTTGCTAAAATGAGGGTAAACTATAGAAGTTAGAATTTTTTTAAAGCTCACCAATTGCAAGTATTTCTGTGGCATTCCTATCTTAGGCACTTATTTGTAACATCCTTGTGATTCTGAAATACTATATTTTGTAATGTCATACTGTGATTTTACTGTCATAGATAAGTCTCCTTATCTGTGATTTCTTTTCAAAAAATCAGATTGCAAGAAGAATTTGTAAATCACATAAACGAGCTGAAGTTACTAGATGAAAGAATACAAAGAAGAGTGGAAAAGTTAGAGCAGCAAGTCCAGAGGGAAGCGAAAGAATTTGCCAAGAAGGTTCAGGAGCTTCAGAAAAGCAATCAGGTAAGCTGCTTAATCCATGTTCTTCATGTATTGCTGCTATGTGACCTTGTACAGGAAAACCCCCTCTTGTTCCCCGAGGTTCTCTGTGAGGATTTTTTTTGTCCCCAGAAGGTTTAGTCTAGGAGCACTAAAGTCATAGTTCAGCACTCACACAAAAAGTACCCCTTGCATTCTGTACACCTAACAATAAACAAAATCTAGGGAAATTGCATCTATTCTTTTGTGGTTTGTTTTTGGTGGAGTTGTGGTGGTATGCTTCAGTTATTAGAGGAATTAAGAGGACACCCACCAATGCAGTGGAATCAACTTCTTTCCTCTCAATAGGGAGTAATGAGAGATGAGATACAGTTGCTCAATTTTATCTTACTATCTATATAAGTACAGTTTTCTGCATATGAGTATCAGTATGCACATGTGGATTTTTCTCCATTTGATTACCTCTGCAACCATGAGTTAGTTTTGCTGCTTGTACATGAGTCTGCAGCTGTGGCTCTAGAGAATGAAACTAGCAGGATCTGTGATTACGACAGATAGCCTTGCATATATTGTACTGTCGGCTCTCCACCCTTGCAGGTTTGAGTGGGTTTGATTATTCACAATTTAATTAAAATGTTTTCTCTAGATCCTGCAGTGTGACTCTGTGGCTGACCGTAGTATCATTCTGGAGGTCATAGAAATTCCCTAAAGAGGGTTCTCTTGTGTAAAAAACCCAGCAATTTTTTTGTTTTTAGTTTTTCACCTTGAAGGAGATTATTTGCTCCTAAATCTGCCAAAAGTAGAAGGCTGATTATATAAAGTTATGTATAAATTCACATAAGTTGCTCTCAGTGGCACAGTGAGTTAAACCGCTGAGCTGCTAAACTTGCTAACCAAAAAGTCGCAGGTTCGAATCCGGGGAGCGGCATGAGCTCCTGCTGTTAGCCCCAGCTTCTGCCAACCTAGCAGTACGAAAACATGCAAATGTGAGTAGATCAATAGGTACCGCTCTGGTGGGAAGGTAATGGCACTCCATACAGTCATGATGGCCACATGACCTTGGAGGTGTCTATGGACAACGCTGGCTCTTCAGCTTAGAAATGGAGATGAGCATCAATCCCCAGAGTAGGACATGACTGGACTTAATCTCAGGGGAAAACCTTTACTTTAGAAAATTTAGTTTTAAAAAATAAACCCAATAAACCTGAGTTGATATATCTACAGGTCAGTGTAAATTCTGCACCTTAACTCTTATCAAAAAAAGGAACCACCTCCTTTCTGACTAGATGGTGAAATGCACTAGCTTATTCTATTCCAGGAGAACCTAGAAGATGCACTGATGCCCTCCCCTAGATTCTCTGCCACTTCTGGCCTTTTTTGGATGCCGGTTGGGAAGATGGTAGCTGCGGATCTTTGGCATTTTCAAAGGCAAAAGAGTAGAGCGGGGTTGTTCTTCTTTTAGTTTCTACTGGGGTGGACTAAGCTTATTTATTTATCTACCCCACCCTTCTCACCTCCGAGGGGGGACTCAGGGCGGCTAACACAGGCAACAATTCAATGCCAACAGTATCAAAACAACAATATAAAACAGCAATATAAAATCCATTAAAAAGTGATATTAATTAAAATTACATAATCTTATAGAACATATCACATAATCACAGGTCATAAGCTCTCAGCTTTTGTCACTTTACTCAGAGAAGGAGATAGTTCCTTTTATATTAAGAGTAAATTAACATCATACCTTAGCACTTATCATAAAAGGGAGCCATCCCCCTTTTTTTAGTAGAGTGGCCAAGTCCTATCTGAATGCTTGAGAGGAACCAGAAATGACTGGTCCCTGGAGGTAGAATTGGAGCTTGCTCCTCTCTAGATTGATCTTCAGCTTCTATTAAAACCCATATTTTTGTCCTCCAAAGCTGCCTTCAACTTGTACATGAATCTAGAGACAGAACACAATTTTCATCTTAAAGCTGAATGATAAGAAGTGTTGAAAAAAATACAGGAAATCTTTTTCACATTTCACTGAACTCTTAAAACCCATTTGCCCAAATAGTTAAGCAGATAGGCACTTGGGGAAAATCATTGTGGCCATCTCTGCAATGCCTTTGATACCAACTGGAATCAATTCACTTTGTGTAAATGAAGGCTTTACTGTCTCATCCACTGTGTTTGGATTTTCATTGATGTTTCTACATTTTATGTAAAGCTGCTGGTTGCTGAATCTCTACCCCTATATTGACTTCTGTGGGTCTCTTTGTTCTTTGGCATGCTGGTTTTATAGGTTGACTGTATTTGATGACTGTAAACACCAACAGATTTGCTTTGCCACTTCTCCCAGGTTGCCTTCCAGCACTTCCAAGAACTCGATGAGCATGTCAGCTACGTGGCCACTAAAGTCTGTCACCTTGGCGACTTGCTGGAGGGGGTAAACACGCCGCGACAGAGGCTGGTGGAGGCCCACAAACTGATGAAGTACTTTAATGAGTTTCTGGATGGAGAGCTGAAGTCTGACGTTTTCACCAACTCTGAAAAGGTAAGACCCGGCAACGGCATTGAATGGCGTTGGGTGCAATAAGCTGAGCTGCCCTAATTACAACCCTTTGCAGTAACTTTTCCACAGCCTCGGCTCCCCAGTGAGCAACTTGTCTGAGCACCATTGTTCTGGTGTGCAGATTAACTTCATTTACCTGCAGATTCAGCTGTTTTCAGTATGCCACATTTTCATTTTGCAAAATCATAAGCGACTTGGAAGAATTGCTGAGAGAGGAACTCTTTAGAATACCTTTAGAAAGCTCTTGTGTTCTTTTCTCTTTTTTTCTGAACATCTCGCCCTAATTCCTCTCACTTGTGAATGAGTCTTTTTGCCCCATATAAACTCCTTGAGAGATCTCTCTTCATAGAATTACATATTGTTAGACTATCTTTTTAGGCTCCAGAAAAAAAATTAATGTTCTACTTTGTTTTTTTTTCTGAGGACATATAATGGAAATTGAGACACAGTGTTGAAATAAATCCTGCAGATGTAGGAATACTTCTTTGTGCATTTGACTTCATAATTCTGAACCACTGTTCCTGATACTGTGGTAGATATAATGGTTTGTTCAGCTAGTTTGTCATGACTGTGGATAAAGCAACATTTCTGGATTCAACCAACATCAAATAAGCCGGTCCTATTAGTTTTCATTTGAGTCTTAAATATATAGAACACTGGTTTACCTTCCTCAAGATGTAGTTGCGAACCTTTCCTCTTAACAAGTTCCCAGATTACCCCTATCAATGTTTATATATATATCCTTGTTTTGATCTATTTGCCATCATTTATAATACTGTGATAGTATTTTTGTGTTTCTAAAAGGATGTTTTTATATTGAGATTGGGTTCTCTGCATTGCCGGGGTAATTAGAAGAAGTCATTTTTTGTTTTACAAAATGCATAAAGTTGCGGGTGTGCTACAACTCATATCATGCTAGGTTAACCCCCTGAAACTCCACCCATATTTAAAGTTTGTCATGTTGGGTAAGTTTGCTCTAGATGCAGCATCGGTGGGGTTCAGTGTGCTCTCTGGCTGCAGGATGAATTACAACTCTCACCATGGTGGGTCAGTCCCATCAAATCCCTCTAGTACCTTCAGTTGGTTCTGGGGGTTCTGGGTTTCAAGTTAGGTCCAGGTCCATCACCAGTGGAGTGCAGAGTGCTCCTTGATTGCAGGTGAACTGTAAATCCCAGTACCTACAACTAACAAATGTCAAGGCCAATTCTCCCCAAAACCCACCAATATTCAGATATCGGGTTTGCGTGCCAAATTTGGTGTAGATCCATCGTTGTTTGCGTTCACAGTGCTCTCTGGATGCAGGTGATCTATGATTCCTATAAATCAAGGTGAATTTTCCCCAGAGCTCTCCTGTATTTTTGTTGGTCGTGGGGGTTTCTGTGTGCCAAGTGAGGAGCAAGGCCATCGTTGGTGGGGTCCAGAGTGCTCTTTGATTGCAGGTTATAGATAAATCCCAATACGTAAAATTGCTCTAAATCAAGGTGATTTCCCTCCAAACCTCTCCAGTATTTTTGTTTGGTAATGGGGGTCCTGTGTATTGTCGAAGGCTTTCATGGCCGGAATCACTGGGTTGTTGTAAGTTTTTCCGGGCTATATGGCCATGTTCTGGAGGCAATTTTTCTCCTGACGTTTCGCCTGCATCTATGGCAAGCATCCTCAGAGGTAGTGAGGTCTGTTGGAAGTAGGATATAAACCCATATAAACCCATTTTTCCTACTTCCAACAGACCTCACTACCTCTGAGGATGCTTGCCATAGATGCAGGTGAAACGTCAGGAGAAAAATTGCCTCCAGAACATGGCCATATAGCCCGGAAAAACCTACAACAACCCAATGGGGGTCCTGTTTACCAAATGTGGTCCAGGTCCATTGTCCCGGGGGGGGGGACGGACGGACAATGGACTGCTCTGACTTGATGCAGGGTGAACTACAACTTCCATCATGTGGAGTCAATCCCCCAAACCTCTCCAGTATGTTGAGTTGCTGTTTAGTTTATTTGTTTATTTATTTATTTATTTATTTATAAATAAATAAATACATTTAGTTTAGTTCTGCTCTGTTTGTTGTGCAGATAGAGTTGAAAAGAGTAGGAAAAGGTTAAGGGAGAGGCAGTGGATGGGGTCATGCAAATTCCACACCAGTGGAGAGAGTCAGAAACACTGGGATGTCTGTGGTGGAGGAAACATGTAAAATCTAGGATGAAATTGTCCCCAAATGAAAGCATTCCTTGGGTGGTGGGCAGTATGATGTTTGGGAAGGATATTGGCTACATGTTCATGGCAGCTGCTGTTACCTGAAATGTCAGTGGAGGGAGGACTTGGTGGCTCCCCGTCACTGTGGGTTAAAGCTGTTTGTGGAAGTGGGCAGCCCAACTTCACGCATACATACACATTTTTAGTTTCATTATGGATATTTTTTCATTCATGTATTTTGATTTAAAAGATTTCTGATTTGAAATATTGACTGTCATTATTTAAAATAATTATTTTAAGGTGGTAACTGAGAGTCAGTGTGGTTTAGTGTTTAAGTGTCAAAATAGGACTGTGAGTCTTGGGTCCAAATCCCCATTCAACCATAGAAACTCACTGCATGTCATGGTCCCTTCGCCTTAGAAGAAGGCAATGGCAAACCCCTTCTGAACAAATCTAGCCAGGTTCACTCTGTGATAGATTCATTTTAAGGTCTTCATAAGTTGGAAACAACTTGAAAGCACACAAGAACAATGTCTCCCATTTTTTTTCCTTTGTAATGACAGTATCTCTTTGCTCTTGCTTTCTTAATTTGAATGGATAAGTTCATACCTTTTTCAGTCAGGTCTGTGTACTTTTTAATTCCAGAAGATGTGCCTATTTTAAATCATCTGGTCTTCCACAGTCCTTTGAAATTTGGATTGGATGTCAAGGGAGAATTATTTGGAGATAAAACTCATCTAAATTTATCTGCAACATTCAGTAGGAAATTAGAGCTGACTGTTTCCATATTAATTATATCCTGCCTTTTAGATTTTCACTGCAGCACAGTTGGTGACGGCATCCTGCTAAAAGTTTTGAAAGCCATATCCTACCCTTTACAAAATTTAATTCAAACAATTTATATTGTCAATATATATGTAATTTTAGACTGTGCCTTTTTCCTTCCTATTTTACATAGTGACTTCCAGGAATAGGACACGATGTGTCGTGTCCTTCCCTCAGAAATACCCTGTGCTTTTTTAAATGCTTGATTTAGGGCTGGGCAATATTTGGAATTGTGTCACTGGCTCCAGATGGGTGAAGCAATTGAGAGGACAATTGAGAAGGGTGCTTTGAGAATGCAGTTTTCCTGCTTCTTGGCAGGGGGTTGGATTGGATGGCCAACGAGGTCTCTTCCAACTCTACGATTCTATGATTCTATGACAAACCGCCCACTGTTTTATAGGAAGAAAGGAACAACCTAGGGTCTAAATCATTACTTTGATGTCACCTTATTGCTTTGCTTGTTCTCCAAGATCAGGAGCAGGGAAATTAGTGTGCAACAGCCACATGGGGGCCCAAGGTTTCCTGCTCATCCTCTGTGTTGTGTGAGGCGGCCAATTCTCTCACACCAGAAGTGACTTGCAGGATGGCCTATGTGGTCTTTTCTGACTGAGCCCTTCCAGACAGGCCCTATATCCCAGGATCCGATCCCAAGTTTTCTGTTTATCCCAGATTATCTGGCAGTGCAAACACATATAATCCAGTTTAAAGCAGAAAACCTGGGATCAGATCCTGGGATATAGGGCCTGTCTGGAAGGGCCCTCTGTGATTACATCTCTTGCTTTCCAGACAATTTAAAACTGCTGTTGTCTTGCATTTGTGATATACTTTTAGCACGACTTTTTTGCACTGTAGAGGACTCTTAGCTCTAACATCCCATATCTGCAGTTCAATTATTTACCTCCTGCTTCTTACATGTCAGCTAGTTGCATAGGTAGTTGAATGAGATTTTACAGAGAACAGCCTCGTGCATCTTCATCAATCCCTCTTTCTTTGCCTAATGTTTCTGTTTAGAGCAAGGTTACTAAACTTCCTGAACTGGAGCTCTCTTCTCCATCTCTCCATCCCAGTTTTTTGAGTTTTCCCTTTCGTGTGAGATCTTGCAAGGATTTTTGTCACCCCTTCCTGCAGGATGCCCTCCAGTTTCTTGTCTGCAACAAATGTCTTGTATCTCTCACTATGTTCCCAGGGCCACTTTAGACTTCAAAGGCTTTTGATTGCCTACTAATCTTGGCAGTTTTCAAAACTGTAATTTTTGCCTATTTTTAAACCAGCTTTGCAAATCTCACTCGCCTGGGTGATAAGAGCTGTTCAGCTACCCTTGCCTGTCATGACAAGCAGTCAGCAAAAGACAGGTTAGAATTTTGGAGAAACTCTTATACATGAAGGTCTATTGCTGCTAAAAAAAATGTGTTTGGACAGCAGTGGAAAACTTCCTTTCTAAGACTGGTTCTAAACCTTTAAAATTGTATCTTGGGAAGAACTTCCTGACGGTATGAGCTGTTTGGCAATGGAATATTCTGCCTGGTGGAGTCCATTAATGTTCCTCCATGGCAGAAAGGGTTGGACTGGATGACCTTTGTGGTATCTTCCAACTCTGTGATTCTATGAAAGTGTCAGATTTTGCATGAGATCCTACCCAGTTGAGCATAGTGCCTGAATTATGGTGGAGAATAGAGAGGGGGGGGGGGGACTGAGAAGCACCTGGCCTTATTCTTCATCAGATGCAGATGGAGGACATAAAACCATAATGTTGGATGAGATCCTAAGGGCCATCCAGTCAAACCCTAAGAGGAGCACACACTCCCAACAGATGACCATTCAGCCTCTTTAGAAGCCACCCAATAGGGAGACTCCACCAGACTTCCAGGCAGCAGCCTATTCCACTCTCAAACAGCTCAATCCATCAAGACATGCTGGCGATTTCAAGGAACAAGTGCCATTTGTCTGCACCTGATTATGGGGACATAGGCAGACACTTTTCTGATCCCTTTCACTCTTCATCAGCAAGAGGATGGCTATAGGAGGCAAGTTCATATACCGTAACAGTGAGTTTGAGCTAGAGAACTGTGGTTGTTGAAGGTGAAAGAGAACGCTAATCTATATAGTAATCAGAAAAAAAGACATACACAGGTGGATTTATACCTGCTTATGTCACTAACAGGATTCCAATTCTTGAGTCAGCCCCATCTGGTTCAGCATTGGGCATATTAAATAGCATTCTAAACCACTTTATCCTTTAACTAGTTCACGTAGTGGTCCCCCCCCCCCCCAAAAAAAATAGTCTGCTGTTATTGTTGTTGCTAGCTATTTTTGTTATGTTGTTTTATGCTGTTTTATGCAGTTTTAATTGTTATGGCTTTATTTTAGTTGTATTCTGCCTGGGCTTGGGCCCCATGTAAGCCGCCCCGAGTCCCTTCGGGGAGATGGAGGTGGGGTAGAAAAATAAGATTCTTCTTCTTCTTCAACTCTGGCTAGAGTCTTCACTGTTCAAGTGGCATTGCACTGCATTAGTTCTACAGCGTAGGTGTACCTTCAGAATAGTCTTTCCCAGCCACACAATGCAAGAGATTAACTTGAGACATTCTTCATGCAAAATTATCTTTTCCATTGTTTGTATTGAGCTTGGTGTTCTGGGATATAGGGCTGTGTGGAAGGGCCTTGTGGCTACCAGATGTGGGGATCAACAATTGTTTTTCTTCATCTAATCTTCCATTACCTTATTTATTTATTTATTTCAGTTACTTCTACCCCACCCTTCTCACCCTCCGAGGGGAGACTCAGGGCGGCTTACAAAAAAGACACAATTCGATGCCTTTGTCAAATATACATACATACATAAAAGCGATTAAACAGTTAACAGGTTAAAATCATCAGTACATAATACAATAGTAAACAATCTCATGCTCAGTGTTCAGAGTTCCAAAAATCCATTCCGTTCCGTCAATTCCTGCCCATCATCAAGGTCTTTCCTTTAGCTGCCAGAATGTCCAAAAGCCTGGTCCCACATCCAGGTCTTCAATTTTTTTCTAAATGAAAAAAGGGAAGTCTCTGATCTAATCTCCCCAGGGAGTGAGTTCCACAGGTGAGGGGGCAGCACCGAGAAGGCCCTGCTCCTCGTCCCTGCCAGCCTCACTTGTGATAGAGGCGGGAATCAATGGACCATATATGTGTCCATTGATTATATCTATTTATTTCTTTCCTGGAAATTTCCCAGAAACTGGCAGCCAGTGACTTGGGAACCACCACTGGCCCAGGGACAGTCACTTTTGAGAGAGATGATTTCAAGTTTAGTGAATAGCACCAAGAAGCCAAATGGCAAAATCAAAGTTTGCTATTTGGATTTTGAAAATACTCATATGAATGGCTGAATCTATGGATGTAGGATCTGTGGATATAGAAGGCCAATTACACGTTCTTTCCAAGCTACAGTCATCCCTGTTACAGATACAGGGGCTGTTTCAGATTGTTATCTGTACGTAGCCAAATTATGAAAATATTGCTCAGAAATGTTTCAAATACATCATTTCTGTATATTAAGGAGGACATTCAGAAATGCTTTTGGTTTGAGGGAGCAAATGATCTACTAAAATAGGTTGCTATTTTTTTCACAGTGGGTTGTATATCTTTTCCTTCTAGATCGAAGAGGCTGCTGATATTATCCAGAAGCTGCATCTGATAGCACAAGAATTACCTTTTGACAGGTGAAGTGTGACTGACATCTATAAATTATCTTTGATTTCTGTCTCATTCTGCCGGATTTCAACTTACTGGCTTTCTAGAGAACAAAAATAGTGACTGATAACCTGCAGGATTAAGGACATGATTCATTTCAAGCCGAAACCTTCATTTTCAAAGAGCAGATAGCTTAGTCAAGAATCATAAGTCACCCTCGACGTTATGATGTTTTCTGAAACATGATAGGCGATTTACAGAACAACCCTATTCCTGTTCACTCTCAAGTGAACTCATTCATCCAGTAGAAGGCAGAATTTCCCCAAGTTACTTCACATGTAAATATTGTGTCTGACTATATCTTTATTTATTTACAGCATTTTGTTCCTTCTAGTTTCTGAGGCTTAGTGGTCAGTACACATTATAAGCTAAACATTAGTGTACATGGATTTATGACATAAGATAATAAAAACTAGAACTATTTAAAGCAAGCACAAAACCACACTAGGAAAAATTGACAGGAGAGAACACCAGAAAGGTAGAATTATCTAGAAACACATCATGTCAGTTATCATCCAGTCCCAGTCAACAACTATGTTATTTGGTATACCTAAAATTTCCATTCAACTTTCAAAGGTAACCTCACATACAAAACACTGCAGTAATCCAACAGAAAACTTTTAAAGCATGGATAGCTATAGCAAGATGGCTGGACCTTATCACACTAGACTTGAATAGTAATAATAATAATAATAATAATACTTTATTTATAACCCGCCACCATCTCCTCAAGGGACTCGGAGCAGCTTACATGAGGCCAAGCCCAACAATACATCAAAAACAACAAGCAATAATAAAACAACAAGCAATAAAATAAACAATACAATTAATATAACTCACAAGTAGACAATAAAACACAAGAATTTAAAAACTTGAATGAATAGGTAAAGAGTGTGCATTCCACTTGAAATCCTGTTGCTGCCTCCTGCAGAATTCTGGGGTTTGTAGTAACTCCAGCCGATATATATGTGTGTGCAGGGAAGGGTTAACACCCCTGTGTTGTTTGTCTGTGCCCCTGTTCAGGAAATAGGGCGGGTTATAAAGAAAATAATAATAATAATAATTTATTATTATTATTATTATTATTATTATTATTATTATTATTATTTACTCTATTGCAGTGGTTCCCAACATTTGGTCCTCCAGGTCTAAATTGCATCAAATAGACAGCATCAGATCTAGATTCTTTGATAGGGCTATCATAGTTTTCTGTGAGCAAGGAGATGGCGTTTGTGGATGCCACCTGTATCTCAAAAAACTAGAGCTGATAGGGGAAAATTGGTGCCGTTCTTGAAATCCGCAGGTCACATATACCCAGAAACATGGCTAACATTTGAGGCACCAAAATGTGCATTAATCAGCATTATTATATAGGATTCACAAGGTGCAAAGACTTCATGGATCCATGGCCATAGGACAGCGGTTCTCAACCTGAGGGTTCCCAGATGTTTTGGCCTTCAACTCTCAGAAATCCTAACAGTTGCTAAACTGGCTGGGATTTCTTGGAGTTGTAGGCCAAAATGCCTGGGGACCCACAGGTTGAGAACCACTACTATAGGAGAATATGGTTCAGAAATTCAAAGGTTTTATCAAAGGCAAAGGGTACAGGGAGCAAGGGCTGGGTGACCCAAATTGCAGCAGGGGCATATGGGATTCTCAAGTTGCAATGGGAATAGAGTCTTTGGGATTCAGGGCTAGATTCATTAGTGATGCCATGGAAATAAACAGATCAGAAATTCAAGGGTGGAAGAAGAGCGAAGACTTATGGGACTCAAAGGTGAGTTGTCCAGATTGCAATAGGAACGTATGGGTCAAGGCTGGATTCTCGGGTTCCAATGGGAGCAAAGGTATTAGGGGTTCAGGCACTGGATTAATCAAAGATACTATGCAAACAAATGGTTCAGAAATTAAAGGCTCCAGGAGCCCAGGGCTGTATTATCAAAAGTGCAAATGGAACATATGGACCAAGGCTAGCTTTGCAGGTTGCAATGGGAGCAAGGGATGCATTGCTGAATTAATCAATGATGCTATGGGCATCAATAATTCAATGATGGATTAATTATGCTTTTGGAGCAAGTGGAGTAGGGATGACTTTTCAAGGGTACAAGGGAAGCAAAGGCTGTGTGAAGTCAGGGGTGAGTTACTTCTCATGATTGCAGCAGGAACATACAGGATTTCTCAGATTGCAGTGGGAGGAGAGACTTCAGGGATTCAAGGCTGGATTAATCAGTGCTGCCAAGGAAGTAAATGGTTCAGAATTTCAAGTATTCACTGGAACAAGCAAAGGCTGTGGGAAGCCAGTAGTGGGTTCTTGAGGTTGCACCAAGAATAAATATATGGGATTGTTAGGAGCACAGCCTCCAAAAAGCCGAAGTTGGGAAATTAAATATGCCTCTGTCTGTCTGTCTGTCCTGTCATTGTTTAATCGGCATTGAATGTATGCTGTATATGTGTTCTGTGATCTGCTCTGAGTCTTCTCTGGGGTGAGAAGAGTGGAATATAAATACTGTAAATAAAATAAATACTTTCTGTCCCTGTGATAATTGGATTTTGGAAAGTGTGGCTTGTTGTGGAAACAAGGATTGGTGATAAAGCTTTAGTGGAGACATCTTTTCCGCATAATAACTTTTCTAGGAGTGAATTTCCCTTCATAGGGATAGATTTCTCTCACTTCCTGTTGTCTCACCCCTATTCTTAACTGGGAGTCATTTGTAAGTTGGATGTTTGTAACTCAAGGACTTCCTATATATTCTTATTGATTCAGAATGTCAGGCCTAGTTTTGTTTTGCATTTGGATTTAGGATTTCTTTGCCAAATTGAGTCTTGTTCAATCTTGAACATGGAAATATTTTCACAATTAAGAGAAAATACAAATTTGCTCGTCATCTTCAGTCTAGAAGGTTGTTTTGGGAAGTAGAATTTGCAGGTTTGAATTTGGTTGGGTATTGGCTTGGCAATATTTTTCAGCACCTGGTAGGAGTTTGCCTTGTGCGTCTTCTGATGATGTCTCTGAGACTGCGCTGTTAAAGGCCTCCTTTTGCAGAGCTTGAGTAGAGAGGTTACCAAGTATGGAAATAATTGTAAAGACGAGGCACTGAAGTGATGTTTCCAAGCTCCCTGTTGAGAGTCCACAATATAAGATGCTAATCGAAAGTTGGTCTCCCAGGTTTAGCTCTTTTGTTGCCATGATTATATTGGTTCACTTGCTACTCACCTTGTGCATTTCCTGGGCTGGGATGCGACAATGAAGTGTAACTCAACAGGGCATGCCACATAATTATATGTTCAGGCATTATGCTCTACATTTGTGGTGGATGTTTAAAATACCTTAACCTGCACTAAAAAATGTAATGCTTAAAAAGGCTTTTGGTTGGTTAAATTAGATTGTAACAATATTTTTATTGTTGTTAACAGGTTCTCTGAAGTAAAATCCAAAATAGCAAGTAAGTTCTGCTCTTTGTTATTCATATTTTGTTTAATTTACTTGAAAATGGCACTGTTACCCTTGCTTCACCAATACTGGAATTGTATTTTGTTTCATCCACCCTCTGTCTTTTTCTCAGGTAAATACCACGATTTAGAGTGCCAATTGATCCAGGAGTTTACCAGCGCACAAAGAAGGGGTCAAATCTACAGGATGAGAGAAGTAGCCGCAGTCTTGCTTCACTTTAAGGTAAAGAAGCCCATTCTTTGTAACTTAGCAGGGTGTAAGCCCCAGTGAACACAGTGGGCCTTACTTCTGAGGAAACATCCGTACATTTGCAACTGCGCTGGCTACAATTTGAGGCAAGGTTTTTTGACCTGTAAGCATCTGAATGATTGTGGCTTAGAATGGGCGTTTCGACGGCTGTGCAGCCATTGTTAATCCACCCAGATGATTTGGCTCCAGCAGGCTACTTCCTGGCTGAAAAAAATCAATATATTTTTCTGCTGGAAAAAGTACTTTCTTTTGGCCCTGTAAATTAGACTCTCGTGCTGTTTATTGTGCGGATGGTAATTGCACTCGTGTTAGCAGGCAACAGTGAATGACCACTGTCAGGCACATCACCTTCTTATCTGTGCCATTTTAAAAGGGTCTGGGCGGTTTTATCTCCCCACCAGCCCAAACTGGTCAAAACCCTTGCCGTTCTGCCCCCTTCAGAAAAGGCCGTCCCCTAAGAGCTTGTTTTCACCCTTTGTCTTACTGTGATCTCTGCAGTTTATTAAGAATCATCTATTTGAGTCAAACCACTACATGTAAGTTCAGACTGCCAGAACCCATAAAAAGGAGCTATCAGTGGCTGACCTACAATTGTGGATTCCTTTTCTTTTAGACATTTTTCAGGATTTAAAATCGAGCATTGTTCAGTGTGCTTGTAATAGCACAGTTTGCCACAAAACCGAGTACCAAACAAGCCTTGATATGTAAGGATATGTGTTAAATGCATCTATATCTCTCTTAAGGTAAATTGGGCCTTTCCTAAATGAATATGGACAGATCCCTTGGTATCAGTTTGGCTATGTCTGAAAAGCTGTCCAGTTTGTCAAGTTGAATAATCATATATCAATGAATAGTCCTTATGATAAATGGGATAAATGGGGAACATATTGATCTGATGTCAAAGTTATTGAAAAGAAACAAAATTCAGGTTTAAATAATACATTTGTATCAGTGGTTCCCAACCTTTTTTTGACTGAGGCGACTTTGACCAAGGACCACTTGACCAGGGACCACTTTGACCAGGGACCACTCTCCAATATTAGTATAAAAAGGGTTACGAATCAGTTTTTGATCAACTTTAGATTTGATTTGGTTATTTGGGGTACTGATTCAGAAAACTGCACTGCATAGACCACATCAGCTCTATTTTCTGATACAGAACATATGCCATCCAGTAGTTGCCATCTCCTCGCCCACAGAAAACCATATTTAATAATCTAGAGCTGATGTGGTCTATCCAATGCTATTTTCTGAATCGGCACCCCAAATAACCCCAGGAACAGGCCTAAAATGGAAGACACCAAGGCACCCCCTCTTCCAGGCGCTACATGGAATGGCTCCGCTCAGGGGGAGGAAGGAGAAGGAGAAAGGCTTGTTGTCATGCCTTTCATGGGTAGTTAGCCTCTTCCCTCGGCACTATAAGAGGGACCAGTCTATCCAGTGCAATTTTCTGAATCAGCACCCCAAATAACCCCATGAACAGGCCTAAAAATGAAGACACCAAGGCACCTCCTCTTCCAGGCGCAATGGTGTAGCAATGGTGAGGGTTAGGGTTAGGGTATGTGGACCATATTTTAATTCTTGGGGACCACTGGTGGTCCACGGACCATAGGATGAGAACCATGGTCAAAACATGAGGGCCTGGAGAAGAAGGAAAAAGTCCCCAGTATAGAGGTGAGTTTTCAGTTTATGTTTGCTGTGCTCTCTGGGCAAAAGCTTGGCTGTAACTTCTACAGGTGTGTTATTTGCTGCAGTGTAACAGAAGCAGAGAGGTTTCCAAATGGCATAGAGCAAATTGTATTTAACTTACCGTCTATTTTCTTCTTTTGTTATCTTTGCTGGTGGTACAGAGTTTCTGAGGAGCTGAGTAATAACAGCAAGAAGGATGTTCCACATCTACTGCACTTATTAAAATATAAGATTCATTAACAATAATAGTACTGTGACCCTGAGCTGCAATATCTTTTTTCCCTTTCACAGGGCTATTCCCACTGTGTCGATGTGTACATAAAACAGTGCCAAGAGGTAAGAGTTTGCATGTCACCATTTGTGTATGAAATATCGGAAAAACAGATACACAAAATGTTACTGTTGCAGTTATGTTTACGTTTATGTGTTGAAGATATTTCCTCTATCATCCTCCAATACAAATAAACAAATAAAAATAATTGAAAGATGGAAATGTTTAAAAACATACCATTAAAATACTCTTTAGCAAACTTCTTAAAATCTAAAAACAATCTTAAAAGACAATATTAAACTACTGGTATTTTTGGACATTAAAGGCCACACAGAAGAGCTCTGTTTTACTGCCCACTGGATACTTAAAAAAGATGAGGCTAGCCCAATTTCCTTGAGCAGGGATTCCACAATATGGTGGCCATTTGCAACATTCACACTTACCTCCAACAGACAAGATTTATTTCTCCTACCCTCCCCTGGACATTCCACAGATATATAAACCTCACGTGCCTAGTTTCCAACAGAATTCACATCCTGTTAGAATGCGTGCCATAGATGTGGGAGAAACATCAGGAGAGAATGCTTCTGTAACATGGTCACACAGCCCAGAAAATTCACAGAATTCCTTGGCCATGATTCTGGCCATGCAAGCCTTCGACAACACAATATGGTTCCTTCTACTGAAAATGAATAATAAACTTTATTTGTATCCTGCCCTATCTCCCTTTGGGTCCTCACTTCTAACTTTTCCTACACTCAGGGTGCCTACTTGCGAGGTGACATATTTGAAGATACAGCAATTCTCTGCCAGAACGTGAATAAGCAGGTTGGAGATATATTTAGCAGCCCAGAAACTGTCATGGCCAAACTCATCCAGAATATCTTCGAAATCAGACTTCAGGTGATTTGCAAGAAGTCATACTTTAAAAAAGAAATTTGCTTAGTCCTAAGTGTTGCTTAAATTTTTTTAAAGTGGATTATGGGTTTTATTTTTCCTTGTGTATGTATCCTTTTTTCCTTGTGTATATATCCCTTTGCATTACCTGTACAGAAATTAGCATTTGGGGTTGAAGGATGTATTATGTGGTGCTTGTCATGAAGTTTTGGAAGCAGTGTGACGTCAGCGCCTGGATGTTTTCCATTTTTAGAACTGGAATGGAATTAAATATATGTGAATGTATGCAAGACACATACATTCTTAAAGGAGATTTTATGAAAAAAATGTTGGCCTTCATTTCACAGAGTTATATAAAAGACCAGCTGGAAGAACATAAGAAGTCAGATGCGGAACAGTATCTTCAAAGCCTTTATGAGTTGTACACAAGGTAGGCGCTGTGTTTTAGTTCTTCAAAAATCAGATTATGGGAATAGTAGAAACCTGCTTTTTTTCATTACACTGATGCCTCAGTATTTTTTTACAGGTACAGACAGACCCCCAGTTACAAACAGAATAGGTTCTGTGAGTTTGTGTTTAGAAAAATTCACCTCACTTTCTGTCCCTGTGATAAGTGGATTTTGAAAAATGTGACTTGTTCTGAAAACAACGATTGTTGCTAAAGCTTCAGTGGAGACCCCTTTCCCCTATGAATAATGACTTTTCCAGGAGTGAATTTCCCTTCTGAGGGGTAGCTTTCTTTCATTCCTGTTGCCTCCACCCTGTTCTTAATTATGAGTTGTTTGTAAGTCAGATGTTTGTAACTTGGGGACTATCTGTACTCTTTTTCAGAATGGTGGGCTAGTGTCTGAACACAGAGTTCCTTTCACCAATTTTATCTCTCTGTATGAGTCTGCCAGGGTCCAAGATTATCAGGAGAGGCCCTTCTCGTATTCTCCTCACCGTTGCAAGTGTGGTTGGTGGGAATACGAGAGAGGGCCTTGTCGGCTATCTCTGGATCAATTCAGGAAGCCCATTGATAGGAAAGGCAGAACAGTCCCTTCCTAGATGCTGTTCCATCGACAGTCTAAACCAGGCATGAACAAACATTGGCCCTCCAGGTCTTTTGGATTTCAATTCCCACAATTCCTAACAGCCGGTAGGCTGTTACAAATTGTGGGAGTTGGAGGGACTGTGACACAGCTGGCTGGGAGCCAGCTGCATTAAGATCACTACTGACCGAAAGGTCATGAGTTCGAAGCCAGCCTGGGCCGGAGTGAGCTTCCGACCATTGTGTAGCTTGCTATCGACCTTTGCAGCCTGAAAGACAGTTGCATCTATCAAGTAGGATATTTTGGTACCGCTTATGCGGGAGGCTGATTTAACTAATTTACGACACTATAAATCTCCAGCAAGCAAGCAAAGAATGAGGAAGTACTTCATCAGTGTCACAAATGGACGCTGAAGCGACAGCTCCCCCGGTGGCCAGAACACCCTCATGAAAGCTGGAAAGTTAACCAACCTCTGTGTGTCTGTCTATATATCTTGTCTGTCTATAGCATTGAATGTTTGCCATATATATGTACATTGTAATCTGCCCTGAACCCCCTGCGGGGTGAGAAGGGCAGAATGTAAATACTGTAAATAAATAAATAAGGCCAAAACTCCTGGAAGGCCGATGTTTGTCCATGCCTGGACTAACTCTTTTTATTCCACCATGCTTATGAAACAAAAAGCTTTTAAAGAATGGCATCTGGCATGCTGTATTGTTTTAGTAAAAGCGTTTTTAACAGCTTTTATCTTTTTTATATTTTTGTTTTTTGTTTTTGTTTTTTTTTAAATACAACTGTACCCTTGGTTCATTCCTGATACGATAAATAAATAAAAAATAAATCTTTTAAATTGCTTTTTGTTTTAGGTGGCAATGTGAATTTAGTAATGTAAATAATTTTAATGTCCACTTTTTATATGTTTTTAATTGTATTGTTCTTATGAATTGTGAGCCATTTGTGTCCCAGAAAGTTTTAAATTAGATGGGATGATGATAATGGTGGTGGCGGTGGTTTGAATTAGCCATTATTTTTGTACAGGAAACTGATAAATGGTTTCCATGCATTATCAAATAGATGTTTAATAATAATAATAATAATAATAATAATCTGCATGCATTATTCGCTGATACATCACACAGTCCTAGACACTTAGGAAGTGTCCGACATGCGATCCAATGCAACAGCCAGCATAGTGATCTTGTTAGCTGTGTACTAATCTTGTTGTATTTTAAACAACAACAACAACAACTTTATTCTTGTATCCCGAAGGGACTCAAGGTGGCTTACACACGGCACAAGGTGCCTAAAAATGGAATATAAGAATGAAAACAATTTTAAAATATAATTGAATAAAACATATAGGCATGTAAACAACAACTAACACTCAATTAAAAACAGCACTCATTACCAATAGGTTAAGCTACTATAAATGTGGCCAGGCTGTAAATGATCGAACTGGGAATGGGATAAGTACAAAGCTGTAACCATGGGAAGAGGACATGGGATAAAGTGCTGGGTTGCATAACAATTGTGTAGGTCAACTAGGGGCTAGGTCAGGGGTCCTCAAACTAAGGCCCGGGGGCCGGATACGGCCCTCCAAGGTCATTTACCCGGCCCTCACTCAGGGTCAACCTAAGTCTGAAATGACTTGAAAACACACCACCACCACCACAACAACAACAACAATCCTATCTCAGCGGGCAAAAGCAGGCCCACACTTCCGATCGAAATACTAATAAGTTTGTATTTGTTAAAATTGTTCTTCATTTTAATTATTGTATTGTCTTAAGTGTTTTTTACACTACAAATAAGTTATGTGCAGTGTGCATAGAAATTCATTCATTTTTTTTCCAGTTATAATCCAGCCCTCCAATAGTTTGAGGGACTGTGACCTGGCCCTCTGTTTAAAAAGTTTGAGGACCCCTGGGCTAGGCATTCTCAAAAGCTTGTTTAAAACAGCCAGATCTTCAGTTTCTATGGCAGGAGGATTGATTGTGTCAGGTTGTGTCAGGAGTGACTTGAGAAACTGCAAGTCGCTTCTGGTGTGAGAGAATTGGCCATCTGCAAGGACGTTGCCCAGGGGATGCCTGAATGTTTCGATGTTTTTACCATCCCTGTGGGAGGCTTCTCTCATGTCCCCGCATGAGGAGCTGGAGCTGATAGAGGGAGCTCATCTGCACTCTGATTCGAACCTGCGACCTGTCAGTCTTCAGTCCTGCTGGCACAGGGGTTTAACCGACTGCGCCACCGCAGGAGGATAATTTTATTTCTCCTTTGCTAACCATAATTTATAGGTTAATTATTCTGATAGGGCCATATCAGTTTCTTTATTGATAAATTATCTGGTTTTTCCCAGGTTCTGACTTTTATGAGTGTTGTGGCACATGACATGAGCAATATACAATTTTTATTTACCAAATCCCTATTCTTCCTTTCAAAAACTGAAATTATTAGTATTTATTTATTTGTTTGTTTATTTACGATATTTCTCCCCCGCCTTTCTCAAACCCACAGGTCAGCTTTACAACATATTTATTTATTTACAGCTTTTATATTCCGCCCTTCTCACCCCGCAGGGGACTCAGGGTGGATTACAGTGTACACATATATGGCAAACATTCAATGCCAATTTTTGACATACAAACATATACAGACATACACAGAGGCTATTTAACTTTTTCTGGCCGCAAGGGGAGCTGCCGCTTTCATCGTCCATCTGCGACGCTGATGAAGCACTTCTGCATTTCCTGCATGCTTCCCCGCTGGAATGCTTTGGAGTCTTCTTTATGGCCTCATAAATCAGTTAATTTAGCCTCCCCACACTTTAAGGTGGTAACTTATTTTCCTACTTGACATATGCAACTGTCTTTCGGGTTGCAAAGGTCGACAACAGGCTACACACAATTGGTTGGAAACCCACTCCAACCCAGGCTGGCTTCGAACTCATGACCTTTTGGTCAGAGTGATCTTAATGCAGCTGACACTCAGCCAGCTGTGCCACAATCCCGGTGCATAGGCAGCTATTTGATGCTATTGAAACAATGTAAAAATTGCAGTAAACATTTAACAGAATTATAAAAATATATACATTAAAACCTTTAAAAACATATAAACCACTACCTTCACTATTAGCCTCATTGTCCAAAAACATTGTCTAAGCCTTTCCAGTATTCAATTTCACATAGTTCCATGTTTATCTATCGCACTAGTAGAACTCCCTGAAGTGTACCATTTCCCCCACTGTTTGGCTTATCCAGCAAACAACCAAGAAAGACCAGGAATGAACAGTTTGAAAATATATTTCAATCATTATATGCAAGGGATGAAATTAGAATAAGTAAACTAATAGAACTGACAGAGCTGTATTTATAATGCCATATGGATAATGTTGAAGGGTGAGGGGCATGTATAAATTTGGGAATAGACAAGGTAACCAGGTAATTGTAATATGTTAAATGTTGTAAAATAAGTAAATAAAGTTCAATTTTAAATTTCTAAAGATGACAATAGTGGAGCAGGTGCCTTCGTTCTGTCAAGAGGATGGGGCCCTCAGAGAATTACCATTCTTGTCCTGAGCGAAAAGGAAAATACTGATTCTCTGAGTGTTTGCAGTAGTCTGAAATCCAGCAGACTGACCTCGTTCACCTTTGTTGAGTTTTGACAATGCCTCTCTCTGAACCCACTAAGAAATGAGCCTCCTCGCAATTGCTTTCTACCTGTCTTTTACCTCCTACAAGTTCATTGCTTCCTTCTCTCCCTTTGCCTCCTATCTGCCCCCGACAACATAAAGGACGACTAATCTGTCAAGCAAATTGATGGAGTTTAACTTGGGCACTGATAAGCAGACTTTCTTGTCTAAGCTTATCAAATCCATCTTCGCTTCCTACTTGGAGAATTACATTGAGGTGGAAATTGGTTATTTGAGAAGCAGGAGCTCCATGATTTTGCAGCGCTATTATGACTCAAAAAACCACCAGAAGAGAGCCATTGGAAGTGGAGGGTAAGTGGAGCCTCTTTCTCTCATTTTTTTTTAAAAATCTCACATGTTTTCTTACCATTTAAAAGTACAGTATTCTCAAACCTACTCGTAAGGATACATCTGTTAAAAAAATCAAACTATTAATGGATACCTAGCACATATTGTAAGATTTCCTTGCATACTTAAGATGGGTTCTAAAAAATGAAGACATTTTGTGCACTTATTTCACATAAATAATAAATTCTTGTAGCTATAACAAGTCTCTTTAGCATTACTTCCTTAGATCTAGACACTGTGCTCCTATTGGGCAGCATCAATAGGAGCACAGTTTCTAGATCTAAGGAAGTAATGCTACCCCTCTATTCCGCTTTGGTTAGACCACACCTGGAATATTGTGTCCAATTCTGGGCACCACAATTCAAGAGAGATATTGACAAGCTGGAATGTGTCCAGAGGAGGGTGACTAAAATGTTCAAGGGTCTGGAGAACAAGCCCTATGAGGAGCGGCTTAAGGAGCTGGGCATGTTTAGCCTGAACAAGAGAAGGCTGAGAGGAGATATGATAGCCATGTATAAATATGTGAGAGGAAGCCACAGGGAGGAGGGAGCAAGCTTGTTTTCTGCTTCCTTGGAGACTAGGACGCGGAACAATGGCTTCAAACTACAAGAGAGGAGATTCCATCTGAACATGAGGAAGAACTTCCTGACTGTGAGAGCCGTTCAGCAGTGGAACTCTCTGCCCCGAGTGTGGTGGAGGCTCCTTCTTTGGAAGCTTTTAAACAGAGGCTGGATGGCCATCTGTCAGGGGTGATTTGAATGCAATATTCCTGCTTCTTGGCACAATGGGGTTGGACTGGATGGCCCATGAGGTCTCTTCCAACTCTTTGATTCTATGATTCTATGATTCTTTTGAATTGTGTATTTGGTTGCCAACTCTGAATATCTCAGAGAGGAGGATTAAAAACAGAAAGCTCATGTATTACAGTATGCCTGCCATATATAGACAGTCCCCAAGTTACAAAGGTCCGACTTACAAAATGACTCATAGCTAAGAACGGGGTGAGACAACGGGAAGTAAGAGAACTCTATCTCTCGAAAGGGAAATTGACATCTGAAAGAGTTATCATGGGGGAAAGGGGTCTCCACTGAAGCTTTCTTGCCAATCCTTGTTTTCTCAACAAGCCAAAATTTTAAAAATCCAGTGATTACAGGGATAGAAAGTGAGGTGAAATCCTCTGAACAGGTGCATGGACAGCAAAGCAAACAACACAGGGTTGTTAAGCCTTCCCTATGTTATCCAAAGCTAAAAGATATTACTTCAGCTATGTGTGTGTGTGTGTGACGGCAGCCATATCTATCTATCTATCTATCTATCATCTATCTATCTATCTATCTATCTATCTATCTATCTATCTATCTATCTAAAAATGATCTGTGCATAATGAGTACCTTAAAAACAAAAGAACCAATGAACAGAATCACACCAAATTTGGCAACAAAACGTCTCACAACACAAGGAGTGACCATCACTAAAAAAATTATGATTTTGTCATTTGGGAGTTGTAGTTGCTGGGATTTATAGTTCACCTACAATCAAAGAGCATTCTGAACTCCATCAACGATGGAATTGAACCAAACTTGGCACACAGAACTCCCATGACCAACAGAAAATACTGGAAGGGTTTGGTGGGCATTGGCCTTGAGTTTGGGAGTTGTAGTTCACCTACATCCAGAGAGCACTGTGGACTCAAACAATGATGGATCTGGACCAAACTTGGCACAAGCACTCAATACGCCCACATATGAACACAGATGGAGCTTGGGGGAAATAGACCTTGACATTTGGGAGTTGTAGACACTGGGATTCACAGTTCGCCCACAATCAAAGAGCATTCTGAACACCACCAACGACAGAATCGGGGTAAACTTCCCACACAGAACCCCCATGACCAACAGAAAATACTTAAGGCCATCCAATCCAACTCCCTTCATTGGGACAAGAAAACGTAATCAAAGTCCTCCTGACAAAGAGCCATCCAGCCATAGAGATAGATAGATAGATAGATAGATAGATAGATAGATAGATAGATAGATAGATAGATATGATTCACACACACACAGGTATAGTATCATAAATTCGAAAGGGACCCTTAAAGGACAATTATATGTTGTGTGTTCCAGAGTAGGCAAAGCAGACAATCTTCACATCAACACTGACAAAGAAACAGCAAGAAATACTGTTTACCCACAAGCATAAGGAAATTACATATATTAGAAACCAACACTTTCTCATTACTTTATTTTCCAGATCAAAAGACTGGGCCACAGCAACACATGGCAGGAGACAGCTATATATATATTTGTATGCAAGTCAGAAGAAGTCCATTTTAAGTGTAACAGCCACACACACACATACACACACACAGCTGTTATACTTAAAATGGACTTCTTCTGACTTGCATACAAATTCAGCTTAAGAACAAACCTACCAAACCTATCTTGTTCGTAACTTGGGGACTGCATCACTAGCATATATACCTGGTGCTGTCAATGTTTGCCTTTTTTCTATGGGGTATGTGTGCCAAGTTTGGTCGAGTTCCATCAAGCTGTGTAGGACCCTTTATGGTACAAACAAATCAACCCACAAATATACATACATACTTTGAATTCTATAGATAGATAGATCGATAGCTTGCTAGTGCGATTAAAAAATGATCCATACTAATCCTCGATTTGGATGAACATCCTTGTTTGGTGCATCTCTTTCTAGCATTCAAGACCTCAAAGAGAGAATACGGCAACGGACAAACCTGCCGCTAGGCCCAAGTATTGATACCCATGGGGAAACGTTCCTGTCCCAAGATGTAGTGGTGAATCTCTTACAAGAAACTAAGCAGGCTTTTGAAAGGTGTCACAGGGTATGTATATATATGCCTGGTCTCTCACATGTTTTATCAGAAGTCAGCAGAGGTGAGGAAAGGTGCAACCTGGAGGTCTCATGTGACCCCTTAGTTCTAAATTAGTAACTCGTGAAGCCCCCAGGTCCCATTTTGTTTATTTTAGGCAACATTTATCCCCCTCCCCATAAAGCTCACCACTTACCTGAGAAATGGAAGAGAGGGAAGAAATATTATCTGAAACTCAATGTGACTTTTGATCATAGGGAGTTGTTGTGGGGGAGTAAAAAATGGCCACTGAACTTACACAGTTGCCCACCCCAAGAATATGTATGCCCTAAAATATCAACTATTTTAGGGTATTGTCTTATTTCATTGATCTTTCTTTACTCTTCTTCATTTTTAATAGTTTTTTGGTGGGCCACATTGTGAATGGTTTCAGTAGTCATACCTCCCATGGTTTGACTATGTTCCATCCTCTGGAACTATACAAAGATTGGCATATCAGAGATTAACCTTTTAAACTTATTTTGAAGTGTGTTTTCAGAAGTTATTTATTTGTTTGTGTATTTCGATCACTTTTACCCCGCCCTTCTCAACCCCTGGGAGAGACTCAGGGCGGCTTCCAATTGGCAACAATTTGATGCCACATAATAAAATACAAAACACCAATAATTATAATAGTTTAAACATTAAAATAATATTACTTACAATCTACTGAACTATAGTAGTTGAAGGAAAACATAATACTCTTGATCCTAGAAAGTGAAAAGTAGAGATAAGGTTAAAAAGAGGGGCAAGAAATGTAATTTTGTAAGAATTTCAGGAGCTAACATAAGTTAGTGGGAAAAAATGTAGTTTTTGAGCCTATAGCAGAGGAATGGTTCTCTAAATGTTGAAAGAGGGTAAATTCCATCTATCCAAGCCAGCCTAAGGTGCATCTACATGGCTGAATAAATGCAGTTTGACACCACTTTAAGTGTCACAAGTCAGTACAGTGGGATCATGAAAGTTGCAGTTTCACAATGTCTGCTACAGAGTGCCTAACCAAGCTGCCAACCCCTGGATTCCATAGCATTGAGGCATGGCAATTAAAGTGGTGTCAAACTGCATTAATTTGACATTCTACCTCTCCACAGTTACACTGGCTCATTTGGAAACCATGCAAAACACTCTATGGTTGGAGTTCTCCACATCTCAGTGCTAATGAACCCTTCTCTTTTCTTCAAAGCTTTCTGATCCTTCAGATTTGCCAAAGAATGCCTTCAGAATTTTCTCTTTGCTTGTGGAATTCTTATGTATTGAGCACATTGATTATGCTTTGGAAACTGGATTGGCTGGTAAGTGCAGCAATGCTGCCTTTTTAAAATATCACAGAATAAAATAGCTAAGATGTGTGACCACTTTGGAAAGGGATTTCTAAGAGCAGCATTTGTAACTATGCCATGGAAAGGACTTGAAGTATCATTTAGTTTGAGCCCCAGCAGTGTTCTAATTTAACACATTTCATTTCTAACATATATATATTTAGTCTTCAAATAGATAACTGTAATAACATGTGTCCTTAAAATTTGTGAGTTTAACTTTTGAAGATTTGGTCATTAATTTGATTAATATGTTCTCTCTAGGAATATCTAGGTCTTCCAGTGTGCATGTTGACCATAAAATCATGGTGGTAGACCTAGGGATTCTTAGATTAATAAATAGTGCTGGTGTGTGTGTGTGGGGGGGGGGGGGTATTCCCATTTTCCCACTTTTGCAGAGGTCTAGCACTCCTAATCCCTACAAAAATGGGAGACCTACTGTAGTAGCATACTTAATATATGTTGTAAAAATCTATATAAATAAAAATGTAATGTTAGTTTGTGGGATTAACATAACTCAGAAACCACTGGACGAATTGACACCAAATTTAGACACAAGACTCCTATCAGGCCAACGATTTACCATCACTCATAAAACACTGAAGAACACAGCAGAAGGGAATTAAAAAGCCAAAAAAAACCCCCAAAATACACATATACATACATACATACATACATACATACATACATACATACCAAATTTGGTAACAATTCATCCAATGGTTTTTGAGTTATGTTAATCCCACAAACGAACATTACATTTTTATTTATATAGATACACACAGAGAGATATACACACAGAAAACACATATACACAGACTGGGCCACAGCAACACGTGGCAGGGGACAGCTAGTATTTAATAAAGAGCCTTCATTCATTCTGAAATATTTTTTCTTACTCTCTTATCTAATTGACAAAGGTTACTTGGCGTTCCTACTGCTTTGAAGGCAGTGCTAAAGTTACTTAGGACTGCTAATGCTTTTGAGATGGATTGTTTCCCCAGTCAGATATTTTTTTATCTGTGTCCCTTACTTGCTTCTAGGTATTCCTTCTTCAGATGCTAAGAATGCAAATCTTTATTTCCTGGATGTTGTGAACCAAGCTAATACAATTTTCCATCTTTTTGACAAGCAGTTCAATGACCATCTGATGCCACTGGTTAGGTAAGCAATTCTTGGAAAATTCAGTTCTCCTCAAAGTGTTTGCTTCTGGGAATTAAAAATGGAATTGGGCAAATTATTAGAAAATGAAACTGCCAGTGGCTATATGAGTGGTGATAACTACAGTCATCCCTTCCACATCCCTTTTGCAGATTTGATTATTCGTGGATTTGATTTAAAATGCTCTCTCTAGGAATCTCTAGGTCCTTCAGTGCTGTTCTGTGTTGAGTTTTCAGTGAAGAAATCTGATTATCAGTTGGAAAAGAGGATACTAAGTTAGGTTAGCAGGGCATTTATTGTACCTTCATGGATATGCAAAGCATTGAATGCATACCATTGGGTTCCTCTCAAGGAGAAAGGTGATCTATAAATTAAAATAATAAATAAATAAATAAATGTTGATTATCCCTTATCTAGAATTCCTAAATCTGCAATGCTACAAAATCCAAAATTGTCCTCTTGGGTGTCTGAAATAGGGACTTTCTGATGGCTCAGTGACCACGAACCTGGTTTCAAGCACATGATGAGTAAAAGTATTGTGTATACAAGTATCATAAGGTTAAGGTAATGTGTATATGAAGCATAAATACATTTCATGTTTAGACATGGGTCCCATCTCCAAGATATCTCATTAGGAAGTATAAGTTGTATCTCAGCAGTCACAACTGATGAGTTCACTGATGAATTGGATTCAGAAGGGATTGTGGACTTTTCTGGGATTCAAAATGATACAGGCCAAGGGAATGAAAATGTTTCACATAGTGATGCAGACCAAGAGAATGCAGGTGCTTCAGACAGTGCTGATGAGCTCCAAGGTCAGACACAGGGGTCAGAAGCAATATTCTTAGATAAGGGGTTGAGTGAAGATGAATTAATAGAAAGTTCTCATGAGAAAACACTTGTCAGTACGGGGCTGGGCAAGGATCTTCCTTTACAGATTAGGGCAGAGAGCCAGCCCCGTCGATCAACACATTTACATGAGAAACAGATAGAGAAGGTTCATGGGAAACACCATGACTTCATGTCTGTTTATTAACAGCCAATTGTTTACCCTGAATTCAGTTCAGGCAACGTTGGTGTTCAAGAAAGAACCTAGGCCTAAGTTTTAGTGTCATGTCAAGCCCTATTCTTGGATTTAAGTATTTTTGAAATTTTTGTATTCTTGTTTCATTATTCTTGCGCAAAGTTTTCTGGGAGATCTGTTGCTTATGAATTTATTCTGCATTTGTAGCTTTTTGCTATTCCCGGACTGTGTGATCTTTGGGCTTTCATGAGGCATTTGAGTTCCTGTGTGGATATCACTTGCTATTGAACCAGCTTTGGATTATTCCTCTCCTTTCTTTATTACTGCTCTTTTCATATATATTTTGTGTGTTTTTAGAATAAACTATTTGCTTGTATTTGGACTCTTGTGTGGTGTTGTGGTCATAGGTGGCTTCAGGCCTGGGGTTCAACAGTATATGCAAATAGAGGTATTCCAAAGTCTGCCCCCCCCCCCCCCCAAAATCCCCATACAAACCCACTTCTGGTCCCAGGCATTTTGGATAAAGAATGCACAACCTGTAAATAAATAAGTAAATAATAATAATAATAATAATAATAATAATAATAATAATAATAATAAAAACTGTATTTATACCCCGCTACCATCTCCCCAAGGGATTTGGTGCAGCTTACATAAGGCCGAGCCCACAATACATCAGTAATACAAACAATAACAACAGTAATATAAGCAATAATATAAAACTCATAACAAAGAATAAGCAATAGACATTAACAGTAACACACCGACGTTTAAAAACCTATGGCTGGGCCAAATGTAATAATTAAAATTTTAAAAAATAATGCTGAGCATGAGCAGGTGAAATATAACTAGGATAGCGTTTTCGGAGAGGGATGGGGCGTGCAAACAATCCTAGATCATTAATAAAGTGCATATAAGGACATATTGCTGGAAGATTCCTTGAATTGATTTTTTAACTGTGATTTTTAAAATGACATTTTATAGATATGGGTGATTTTAATGTGCATTTCAGTCTATGATTTATGCAGTTTTATTTTGTTTGCTTGAAGTAGTTTTATGTTTTTACTTGTCTGTTGTATTTTAATGTTGTGTTGAACCTTGAGCAAGTAAGAAATAAAATGCATGATGTTGATGATGATGATGTCTTAATTTCTCACAGCTCTTCCCCTAAGCTCTCTGAATGCCTTCAGAAGAAAAAGGATATCACAGAACAAATGGAGGTCAAACTGGACATGGGTATCGACAGGCAAGTGAAGACTTGCTCCTCCATTTCTGCTTCTCCATCCATTCTATTAATTCGTCTGGCAAAAAAAATGACCAAAAAATTGCATATGCATTTTGTGGTTTTGTGAGAGAGTTATAAATTGTTTATTCTTTCTGATATAAAAGAATCTTTGATTCCCTCCAGTGGTCCGCCATTTCTGGAAGGCCACTTCAGCCCAAGTTAGCTGTTGCTTTGATGAGGAGGGAGGCCATTGGCTGGGGCTCCGCGGTGTGCAGAAATGCTCTCTTTTAAAACAGCCACCTGCTATTTTAACTTTGAAGGACGCTGAATTGCATGATTGGGCAGATGAAGCACATCTTGGCGGCAGAACAAAAGAAGACCGATTTCAAACCAGAAGATGAGAACAATGTTCTGATTCAGTACACTAATGTGAGTAACTATATATAGATTAGTCAATGACAAGTGGCACAGCAAGTAATTGGACTGCCGCTGGCACTTTTCCTTGCGGGCTGCCGAATCTGCTTTGTGTATATGTTTTATCGTGCGTCTGCCTCACTTAATAGTCAAGTTTTCTTTCAGTCTTATAGGAATTCAGACACATTTCGCTGTGTGGTTTTAGCTGAGGAGAACACTAAGCATATTTAGTGATTTGTGGCCTGTTGAGGGACAGAAAAAATTTTTTTTGCAGAAAATGGGTCACCATTTCGGGTGCAAAAATTTGGCTTTTCTGCAATAAAGTGCAGCCTCATATTTTGTAATCATTGCTATGATTTATCATTTCCGTACTATTCAGTAGTCATGGGCCCGGTAACATTTTCACCTGTTTGATTCGTGTTTTCATACTGTTTGTTTCATTCAGATGGCACAAAACGGTAACCCCCCCCCCCCTCCTGGTACGGAAATATCAGTGAAACAAAAGTTAAGTGGGAATGGTAACCATTTGGTTGCCTGATTTTTGGAACTCAGCTGCAGGTCCAGGCAGGCGCGGGTCCTTAGGGCCTGCAAGCCACACACACACACTCTTTTCAAGGAGTGTGTGTGTGTGGCTTGCAGGCCCAAAGCACCCATGCCTGCAGCTGAGCACCAAGTAAGAGAGTGTATGTGCAGCTTGCAGGCCCAAAGCGGCCATGCTTGCCAGGGCCTGCAGCTGAGTGCTGAGTAAGAAAGTGCGTGCGTGGCTTGCAGGCTCAAAGCGCCAATGCCAGGGCTTGCAGTTGAGTGCCGAGTAAGAAAGTACATGCGTGGCTTGCAGGCTTAAAGCGCCCGTGCCTGCCAGGGCCTGCAGCTGAGTGCTGAGTAAGAAAGTGTGTGCGTGGCTTGCAGGCCCAAAGCGCCCATGCCTGTAGCTGAGCACCAAGTAAGAGAGTGTATGTGCAGCTTGCAGGCCCAAAGCGCCCATTCTTGTCAGGGCCTGCAGCTGAGTGCTGAGTAAGAAAGTGCATGCATGGCTTGCAGGCTCAAAGCGCCAATACCAGGGCTTGCAGTTGAGTGCCGAGTAAGAAAGTACATGCATGGCTTGTAGGCTCAAAGCGCCCATGCCTGCCAGGGCCTGCAGCTGAGTGCTGAGTAAGAAAGTGTGTGAGTGGCTTGCAGGCTCAAAGCACCCATGCCTGCCAAGGGCCTGCAGCTGAGTGCCGTGTAAGAAAGTTAATGCATGGCTTGCAGGCTCAAAGCACCCATGCTTGCCAGGGCCTGCAGCTGAGTGCTGAGTAAGAAAGTGCGTGGCTTGCAGGCTCAAAGCGCCAATGCCAGGGCTTGCAGTTGAGTGCTGAGTAAGAAAGTACATGTGTGGCTTGCAGGCTCAAAGCGCCTGTGCCTGCCAGGGCCTGCAAGTGAGTGCAGAGTAAGAAAGTGTGTGTGTGGCTTGCAGGCTCAAAGCGCCCGCGCCTGCCAGGGCCTGCAGCTGAGTGCTGAGTAAGAAAGTGCATGCGTGGCTTGCAGGCTCAAAGCGCCAATGCCAGGGCTTGTAGTTGAGTGCCGAGTAAGAAAGTGCGTGTGTGGCTTGAAGGCTCAAATCGCTTATGCCTGCCAGGACCTGCAGTTGAGTGCTAAGTGCCTCTTAGTCGGCGCTCTGCTGCAGGCGCAGGCGCTTTGGGCCTGCAAGGCACATACACACTGTCCTTTGAAAGAGAGTTTGTGCGTGGTGTGCGACCCAGAAAGCACCCACGCCTGCCAGTGCCAAAAACTGAGGGGAATGGGAGCATGGGAAGACATCCCATTGCCGCTAATGGGACAAAAATACTCGTTTTTTCAGACCTGGGATAAAAAAGCTCATTTGGAAAGGCATCTGTTTTCGGGAGAGGTGCATGAAAACGGTGCCTTACGAATGAAACAAGCAGAAATGGATAGTGATTCTATATAAATGCACAAGACTATAGTCAGTAACTCCTAGTGTTCCACTAAACAAAGGGCAGAGCATTTATATTTCCAATCTCAAAAATGAAGGAGCATGTTTTCTGATTCTGCTCTTAATGTGATTTATTAATCTATAGATTTGTTACTTTTTTCAGCAATGTAAGTATCGTTATACAATTTGTAAAAATAGTGATTCCCAATATGTCACTTATATCACCAATACACCTACTGAAATTAACTCCCAGCTACAAGCAATAATCACAAATTAAGCAAGTTAAAATGGACTTCTCTGCTCTCACATTAAAGCTATACGATGGCTACCTTCTCTTGCCATACTGCTAACTTCTTATCTTAGACAATTTCTTTATTCTACCTTGCTATCTCAATATTTTCCTTAATCTTCAAAACCTACAAGCATGTTTAGATTTGCTTTTTTTCTTTAGAAATGTTACAAATGGTTCTCATTCTTTAAACAAGTTGGTTGACTTCTCCTTTATCAAACAAGACAACTTGTCTGCTTCTGCCAGCTCTAGAAGTTTTATAATCCAATTTCCTTTTGAAGGCAATTCTTTATTTCTCCATTGTTGTGCCTTTAATGTTCCTTGGTCTTTGTGGTTGTCATTAACTCAGCCACAATGTGTGAGGGTAGTGACATTCTATACAACCTCAAATACGAAGCATATAGTAAAACATTATATTGCTAAGGGCTGTATTTCAGAAGCAGTTTTTTACCTGCATTTATGTGATTTTTTAATTTGTATTCAAAGGTCTCCCTTGTGCATTATGCAGAATAAATACAGTATAGTTCTGGGGTTCTGGATTGATTTTAATTCAGTTGAAGTGTTTGGATAATTGTAGTATATGTCATTTCTTTGTATAGTGAGCAGGAAGGGAGGACACAAAATAATAATGCAAAATAATACTGGTTCCCAAGCGAAGCCTGAAGTATTAAACAGAATTATTGAGTATTATAGTCCCTTTGGAACCAGCAGGCTTTATGCCTAGGTAAAAATTTAGTGTATTGAGATACCAAGATAATTTAGAGGCATAAACTTTTTAAGGTTGTTGCTGTACCCATGTCTCCTTCTGTATTTGGCTGCAATCCTTTCAGCTACATAGAATGTGTTCTATATTGTGGGAGAATCGGGGAGCGGGGTGAGCTCCCATCTGTCAGCTCCAGTTTCTCATGCAGGGACAGGAGAGAAGCCTCCCACAGGATGGTAAAACATCCAGGTGTCCCCTGGGCAATGTCCTTGCAGACTGCCAATTCTGTCACACCAGAAGCAACTTGCAGTTTCTCAAGTTGCTCCAGACACACAAAAAATTGTCGTAGATCAAGTTGCTTGTATTCATCTCGTGCAAATTCGTTGTCAGATCACAAAAATATTTTTCTGCTTTATAGATAGTTTATTGATATGCTAAGAAAAGCTCGATAATTAAATTATATGAGTTTTGTAATCGACAGAATAAGCTGATTTTACTTTCTAGTACAGATTGAGCATCATTTATCTGGAGCTTTGTTTCATGCACAAAATAATTAAAAATAGCGTGTATGAAATTACTTCTGGCCTATGTCTAGGAGTTGTAAATGCAAAATAAACACATTTCACATATATACTTGGGTTTCATCTCCAAGATAGCTTGTTATGTACATTGCATGCAAATGCAAGTATTCCAAAATCTGAAAAAATCTAAAACATGAGACACACAAACAGTAATGTAATCTGAAATTATAATAATGGTGTTGTTGAAAGCTTTCATGGTCTGAATCACTGGGTTGCTGTGAGTTTTTCAGGTTGTATGACCATGTTCCAGAAGGATTATCTCCTGACATTTCACCAACATCTATGGCAGGTACCTTCACAACCTCTGAGATGTGGGCAATATGTAAGGAGAGAATGCTTCTGGAACCATATTGCCATAGATGTGGGCAATATGTAAGGAGAGAATGCTTCTGGAACAAGGCTATACTGCCTGGAAAACTCACAGCAACCTATAATAATGATCTCCTATTGTGACTGCAAAAAGAAGAGGACCCTAATTTTTGATTCAATATGCAAGTATGTGGATCTGAATTAATCCAATAGAAGGCAATGGCTTACTAGTTGGGCCCTTTTCAGTTGCCCACAATTTGCCTTTTTAGCTTCCAGTGGCTTTGAAGCTTTGTACCTTCCCCATTTTCCCTTCAGGCTTGTGCCAAAGTCTGTGCCTACGTCCGAAAGCAAGTGGAAAAGATCCGGAATTCCATGGACGGCAAGAACGTGGACAGTGTGTTGATGGAGTTTGGGGTCCGTTTCCATCGGCTCATCTATGAGCATCTTCAGCAATATTCATACAGCTGCATGGGAGGGATGCTGGCCATCTGCGATGTGGCTGAATACAGGAAGTGTGCCAAAGAGTTCAAGGCAAGTGGCAGCTGTACCTAAACCAGAGACAATACGGGACACAGTCCTTGGCTGTGTTTTTAACCGCAGGCCTTTTTGTAACATGGGAGTAAGGAAATGACCTACTGCATAAACAGACATAGACAAACATCAGCCCACCAGGTGTTTTGGATTTATTTCTACCCCGCCCTTCTCAACCCCCTAGGGGGACGGACTCAGGGCGGCTTCCAGCCGGCACATATTCAATGCCTACATTTAAACACAATACAATACATATCACAGTAATTATAAATAGTTAAAACATTAAATTATTACAATAAATAACTCTAACCATTCCTAACAGCTGGAGTTGAAGTCCAAAACATCTGGAGGGCTGAAGTTTGTCCATGCCTGGCATATATTCATGTATAAATCAAGACTAGGTTTGGGGACAAAATTATGAATTTTGATATGACCTCATGAATAGGTCAAGGAAAGGGGGAAAGCACTAGATGCTGGATGTAGGGGCTGTCGATAGGCTCATAGCTGCAGCTAGACCGACCACTTGCTCCCTCGATCCGTGTCCCTCTTGGTTGGTGAAATCCTGCTTGGAGGGATTACGTGACCCTCTGTTGAAGATCATAAACAGCTCCCTTGAGCAAGGAGTCTTTCCAGAGGGTTTAAAAGAGGCGGTGGTCTCTCCGTTGCTGAAGAAACCAGATTTAGATCCCTCGGTTCCCTCCAGTTACCGCCCAGTTTCAAATCTCTCATTCCTGGGCAAGGTGATTGAGAGGGCAGCAGCGGAGCAGTTGCAGCAATTCCTAGACAACACAGCCGGACTAGATCCCTTTCAATCTGGCTTCCGTGCGGGGCACGGGACAGAGACTGTGCTGGTCTCCATCACGGATCACCTTCGATGCCAGCTTGACCAGGGCGGGTCAGCGCTTCTCGTGCTATTGGATCTCACAGCAGCATTTGACACAGTCGACCACAATCTCTTGACCCACCGCCTTACTGTTGCTGGAATCAGGGGGACAGCTTTAAACTGGCTGTCCTCCTTTCTTCACAACCATGGACAGCGAGTGGAGAGGGGAGGCCTGGTCTCTGAGAGGTCCCCTCTATCTTGTGGGGTTCCTCAGGGGGCCATTCTCTCCCCTCTGTTGTTTAACATCTATATGCGACCACTTGCTCAGCTGGTTCGAGGTTTTGGGCTTGAGTGTTATCAGTATGCCGATGACACTCAGCTGGTGCTGAAGATGGAAGGCCCACCGGACTCTGTACCTGATTGTTTCCATCAGTGCCTCAAGGCCGTTACTGGATGGCTGCGTGCCAGCAGGTTGAGGGTGAATCCAGAAAAGACGGAGATCCTATGGCTGGGTGGACCGGGCAGTGGGGACATCCATCTGCCCACCCTGGATGGCGAGGCGCTACGCCCGTCATTGTTGGTAAAGAGTCTGGGAGTCCTTTTGGACCTTCTGCTGACAATGGAGGCCCAGGTCTCCGCCGTGAGCAAAACCGCCTTCTTTCACCTGCAGCAGGCTAGACGGCTGGCCCCCTACCTGTCCAGGGACGACCTAGCTACGGTGATCCAGGCCACGGTCATCTCAAGACTGGACTACTGTAACGCCCTCTACATTGGCCTCCCTCTGTCGGTGATTCGGAAGCTCAAGTTGGTACAAAACGCAGCTGCTCGGCTTCTTGCGGGAATTCCGATGAGATGCCACATAACACCAATCCTACTACAGCTGCATTGGTTACCAATTGAGCACCGGATCACTTTCAAAGTAATGGTACTCACCTTTAAGGCCTTGCATGGTCTGGGGCCAATGTATCTGAGGGATCGTCTCACCCCCTACCAACCCCAGAGATCCCTCCGTTCTGAGGACCAAGATCTATTGGAAGTCCCCAGTGTCAAGACCTTGCGTCTAACGGCAACCAGACGCAGACCCTTCACAGCAGTGGCACCATCACTCTGGAATGCTCTGCCACCTGAAGTCTGTGCCCTGCGGGACTTACCAGCTTTCCGCAGGGCATGCAAGACATACCTGTTCCGACAGGCTTTTAATGTTTGATACTGTTGTTTTTAAATTGTTTTAAATTGCTTTTAAACTTTGTTAGATTTTAGCTATTCTTGTAAGCCGCTCCGAGCCCCAGGGGAGTGGCGGCATATAAGTTTAAATAATTAATAAATAAATAAATAAATAAATAAATAGACCATGTTTTCAAACCTGTACATAAAGACTTTTCCTTTCCCTCAGATATATATTGATAAAATTATTTCATTCTTCTAAGAGTGACTTACCTTTCAACAACATTGTTAATTTGTCCATTTCTATTAATTCCCATCCCTCTAGCATTTAAAAAGATATTTCTACTCTACAGTAAGTCAGGGGTGCAGTAGGTTAAACTGCTGAGCTGCTGAACTTCCTGACTGAAAGGTCAGCGGTTCATATCCGGGGAGTGGGCTGAGCTCCCGCTGTTAGCCCCCGCTTCTGCCAACCTAGCAGTTGGAAAAAAAAATGTGAGTAAATCCTTAGTACCACTTCTGCGGGAAAGTAACAGCACTCCAAGCAGTCATGCCGATCATATGACCTAGGAGGCACCTAAGGACAACACCAGCTCTTCGATTTAGAATGGAGATGAGCACCACCCCTCAGAATCGGACATGACTAGACTTAATGTGAGGGGAAACCTTTACTTTACTATTCAGAGAAGGAAATTGTTGCTTTTAAAATAAAGTTTAGATAAACTATTAAATTCATCCAAACTGTATCAAAAAAGGAACTATGCAGAACAGCACTCTACATACTAGGACTTTAAGATTGTCCGGGGAGGCCCTGCTCTCGATCCCGACTGCGTCACAAACACATTTGGTGGGGACAAGAGACACGGCCTTCTCAGTGGTGGCCCCTCAGCTATGGAATGCCCTTTCTGGGGACATTAGATCGGCCCCTGCCCTCTTAACATTTTTGAAAAGAGTCAAGACTTGGTTGCTTGAGCAAGCGTTTGAAAATGCAAGGTAAATGACAAAGGAATTGGAATGACTGGATGACGAGATGGAACAGTGTTTTTTATTAAGAGATGCAAATGATCTATGTTTTAATATTCTTGTTATGGTTTTATATTAGGTTTTAATGTTTTTAAATGTTTTATGGTATTTTTAGGCATCGAATCATTGCCATTGTAAACCGCCCTAAGTCGCCTGAGGGCTGAGAAGGGCGGTATACAAATACAGTAAATTAATTAATAAATAAATACTTACATATGAGTCTAGAAAATGCAATTAAAATTTATTTTAAACTAGCCGTCCCCTACCACGCATTACTGTGGCCCACATGGGGGTTCTGTGTGGGAAGTTTTGCCCAATTCTATCATTGGTGGGGTTCAGAATGCTCTGTGATTGTAGGTGAACTATAAATCCCAGCAACTACAACTCCCAAGTGAGAAAATCAAATTTTTTGAGTGAAGGACATACATTGGGTTGTTAGGTGTCTTGTGTCCAAATTTGGTGTCAATTCGTCCAGTGATTTTTGAGTTCTGTTAATCCCACAAACGAACATTACATTTTTATTTATATAGACGCTGGGTCATCTTATCCACAGGTCAGTGTAAATAATGTGCTCTCAGACTTACTATAAAAGGTGAGAGTAAAGCTGCTAAAATCAAGTGGTTAGTCCATCTTTGAAGACCCTAAAAGAAGCACCAATGTCCTCTGTTTTTTTCCTCTATTTTCCATTGTGAAGAAGGGTCAAAGAGCCCCCACCATTTAGAGACCTATGCATGGGTATATATCAGGCATGGGAAAACTTTGGCCCTCCAGTTGTTTTGGACTTCAACTCCTACAACTCCTAACATCCTACTGGCTGTATTGTCGAAGGCTTTCATGGCCAGAATCACTGGGTTGTTGTAGGGTTTTTTTTTCAACAAAAAGGAGGAAACCATGAAAATCAACAAAATCTGGCTACCAGTATTAAAAAACTCTAAAATTAGAACAGCACAACAACAGAGAGGAAACAAACAAGGACATTTAATCACCTCTCAACAAAAGATTGCTCCAGGCACTGCCAGGCAAGCAAATGCTAATCAAGGTGGTCAGTTGAAACATTCACACCTAGCTCCAGCAGACAAGAGTCCTTTGTTCCACCCTGGTCATTCCACAGATATATAAACCCTTTTTCCTAGTTCCAACAGACCTCACTACCTCTGAGGATGCTTGCCATAGATGCAGGCGAAACGTCAGGGGAGAATGCCTCTAGAACATGGCCATATAGCCCGAAAAAACCTACAACAACCCATCCTACTGGCTGCTGGTAATTGTGGGAGTTGAAGTCCAAAACATCTGGAGGGCCAAAGTTTGCTCATGCCTGGCATATACAGTTTCTCCTAGGTTTTCTGTGTGCATGGCCAAAGCAGAGCCCATGATGGAGCAGCTGCAGACAAAACTTAGTATTGATCATTTTCGAGTTAATCTCAGATGTGTGAGAAGCGCCATGTGGTAATTTACAATCACCTTTTCCTCTTTGCCACAGATCGCATTGGTGCTGCAGCTCTTTGACACACTCCATTCCCTCTGCAACCTCCTCGTCGTAGCTCCAGATAACCTGAAACAGGTCTGCTCAGGAGAGCAGCTGGCCATTCTGGACAAGAACATCCTCCATTCCTTTGTACAGCTTCGCCTGGACTACCGATCCACTCGTCTGGGCCGCCACTTCAGCTGAGACACAGTTACCAGAAGCAAGAACCATGCTTTTGCTGGGACTCAACTTACTAGATGTTACGGTCATGGCTACTTTTTGAGAGGGAAATGAAATGGAGGTGAGGAGTACTCAGAAACTGAGTTTGTCCTCTTTTTTTAAACCGCCTTGTGACATAAACAGTCAGCAGAGACTGAGCAAAATGGCTTCCAGTTGCTGGTTTGTGACAACACACCACAAGGTGGCAAATAATACACGAAAACTTTGTTTTGAATGGAAAAGACATAAAATTCCTAGCACTTATCCAAATGGAAAGACTTGGACATCTTTGTGGAAACAAAATGGATTCTTGTACTACCATATTTTCACCCTAATGCCACACACTAACACTGTACAGTTAAGGAGGTGGGGGTTCAGGGCAACAACACTCTCTCAACGATATTCCTTTAATGGCTTTGCGCAGTTTCAAAATGCAATCCACCACATGTAAAAAAAATTGCTTGGGATCTGTTGTGAATGAGGTTGCAATATATTGGGGGAGGTTAATATTCTTGGCCTGGCCACATCTGGAGAGCTGTACTTGGTTGTTGAAATGAACAAGTCTCTTCCCATAAGCCTCTGTTCACTTGAAATAATTGGGGTTCTCCCACCTTATATATTATTTGGGATATTGAAGGTTTTTGTTGCCTTATGCTTCTCAATCTGTATTTACCTGGAGCTTCTTATGCTCCTTCTACACTACCCTATAATGCAGTTTCAAACTGCTCAGTGTAGACTTAGATAATGCATAGATAATGCAGTTTATGAGTCTACATCGGGCATGGGCAAACTTGGGCCCTCCAGGTGTTTTGGACTCCAACTCCCACAATTCCTAACAGCCGGTAGGCTGTTAGGAATTGTGGGAGTTGGAGTCCAAAACACCTGGAGGGCCCAAGTTTGCCCATGCCTGATCTACACTGTTCATATAATGCAGTTTCAAACTGGGTTATATGGCACTGTGTTAGTGTTTCCTTTTTTTGGTCAAGGCTGTTTAAAGTATTGCCTAGCAGATAGTTCATTTGTTTGGAAAAGTCATCCTTTGGGATTTAAGGGAATGTCTATGACAGGGAATGAATATGTGGCTTTATTTCTTTCCTGGTGCATTTTGCTTTCTTTTGCCCCCTCCGTTTGCCATTGAGGGCTCATTCCTTGCAGCCTCCTTTTTCCTTGCAGTTTTTTCTCTCTCTATCTGTGCTCTTACCTGACAAATAGATGGTGATGAGGCTTGGTGTCCTGTAAGCCTGCGGAGCAGGCGATAACAGGCACGGTTTCTCCATTTTGTGTGTCTCTGGCAGAGTCCCTGTGCCTTTGACAGCTGCATCACGGGCAGAAATTCAACGGCCAAGCCTTTTCCAGACATGGAGGCGCAGCGGTGGGGCTGGGGGAAGCATCACAATACCCATTTAGTGCTTGATATATGAGCATTAAAAGAGATGTGACATTAAGAAGTGAGCTGCAGCAGACGGCAGAGTGGGGCTCCTGCTCCTGAAGTTGGTAACACTGCCTTTTTATTTAAAAAAAAGCAAAACAAAACACTGTCTTGTTTGATGTCTGAAGGCTTTGGAGGTCAGAGCAAGAGTGTTTCTGGGCAGAAAGTATTTCGTTGGCTTTGTATTGCACTCGGTTCAAGGCAGAAGTCTTTTCTGTTTTTAAAAGGCCTGAAACTGAGCAAAGTTTGTGTTTCTTGGTCACTGTGTTATTGTAATAGGAGCTGCCCCAAGCTTTTTCGAGAGTTCTCAAAAGGGAATTGAACTTGCACTCCTTTTCAGATTGTGGGTCAGGGTAACATATGTATAGTATCTCCTTTCATTTTTAAAATGGTTCAATGGCATTAAACTAATAAACCTGACTGTGTTTTCATTCTTTCCTGTAAGACCAAGAAGTATTGTAACATTTATTAAGACGTATTGTCAAAGGCCTTCATGGCTGGAATCATTGGGTTGTAGGTTTTTTGGGGCTATATGGCCATGTTCTAGAGGCATTCTCTCCTGACGTTTCGCTTGCATCTATGGCAAGCATCCTCAGAGGTAGTGAGGACCTCACTACCTCTGAGGATGCTTGCCATAGATGCAGGCGAAATGTCAGGAGAAAATAATAATATAATAATAATAATAATAATAATACTTTAATTATACCCCGCTACCATCTCCCCAAGGGACTCTGTGCGGCTTACATGAGGCCGAGCCCACAATACATCTATATAAATAAAAATGTAATGTTCGTTTGTGGTATTCACAGAACTCAAAAACCACTGGGGAAATGACACCAAATTTGGATACGATACACCTAACAAGATAGTCAAAGCCATGGTATTCCCTGTAGTAACCTACAGTAACGGATGTGAGAGCTGGACCTTAGGGAAGGCTGAGCGAAGGAAGAGAGATGCTTTTGAACTGTGGTGTTGGAGGAAAGTCCTGAGAGTGCCTTGGACTGCGAGAAGATCCAACCAGTCCATTCTCCAGGAAATAAAGCCCGACTGCTCAATGGAGGGAAGGAGACTAGAGACAAAGTTGAAGTACTTTGGCCACATCATGAGGAGACAGCAAAGCCTAGAGAAGACAATGATGCTGGGGAAAGTGGAAGGCAAAAGGAAGAGGGGCCGACCAAGGGCAAGATGGATGGATGGCATCCTTGAAGTGACTGGACTGACCTTGAAGGAGCTGGGGGTGGTGATGGCCGACTCTGGCATGGGCTGGTCCATGAGGTCACGAAGAGTCGGAGACGACTGAACGAATGAACAACAACACCTAACAACCCAATTTATGTCCTTCACGCAAAAAAATTGATTTTGTCATTTGGGAGTTGTAGTTGCTAGGATGTAAAGTTCACCTACAATCAAAGAGCACTCTGAAACCCACCAACGATGGAATTGAACCAAACTTGGCACACGGTTCTCCCATGACCAACAGAAAATACTGGAAGGGTTTGGTGCGCAGTGTCCTTTGGTTTTGGAGTTGTAGTTCACCTACATCCAGAGATCACTGTGGACTCCAACAATGATGGATCTGGACCAAACTCGACACGAATACTCAATATGCCCAAATGTGAACACGCGCAATACGCTAAAAAACCTCCAAATGGGACAGGGGGAACTTCTGAAGCTTCCCTCTCCCTCTGTTGTTGACTGTTGGTGTGATATTTATAATTTTTTTTCACTGATTAAACAAACAGCAGCTATAAAACTTGCCCCAGACATGTGGAAATAATAACGAAACGATTTCGAAACGATTTCGAAACGAATACGAAGCAATTACGAAATGAATTGAAAAATTCGTTTCGTTTTTTAGATGCTCCTGAATGGTTCGTTATCGCTTCGTAACCAAAAAAAAAAATAACAAATTTTTAACGGATTACGAAATTACGAAACGAAACCGCCCAGCCCTATTAAAAACCTATGGCTGGGCTAAATGTAATACTTAAAATTTAGAAAATAATGCTAGGCATGAACAGGTAAGATATAACTGGGATAGAGTTTTCAGAGAGGGATGGGGGCATGCAGGCAATCCTAAATCAGCAATAAAGTGCATTTAGAGGACATATTGCTGAGAGTTTCCTTATTCTGGGAAGGTACACAGGAACAACCACGTTTTCAGGCTCCTCCTGAAGACTGCCAGAGTTGGGGCATGCCTGATGTCCTTGGGAAGTGAGTTCCAGAGTCGAGGGGCCACCAATCACGCTTGCGATGGAGGTGGGAGCGCGACCAGGCCCTCTCCAGATGATCGAAGAGGTCATGTGGGTTCGTACACAGAAATGCGGTCACACAGGTAGGCGGGTCCCAAACCGTGCCTCTAGAACATGGCTGTATAGCCCAAAAAAACCTACAACAACTCATTTATTAAGACCTCTTTCCCTTGATAGGCCTACATTCAATGCAGGACAAGAAACAACATGGATTTGATTTTTTTTTGGTACCTGAAGTTCTAAACTGGCCATGTTTCAGAAGCATTCTCTCAGGAAAGAACAGGCAAGAGTATTTTCTCCTATTCTGGACATTCTACATATATATAAACCCCATTTTCCTTGTTTCCGACAGACCTCACAACCTCTGAGGATGCCTGCCATAGATGCAGGCGAAACATCAGGAGAGAATGCTTCTGGAACATGGCCGTACAGCCTGAAAAACTTACAACAACCCAGTGATTCCAGCCATGAAAGCCTTTGACAATACAGGAGTACAACTGTTTTGGGACAGGTTGATTACCCAATTCCTATTTATTTATTTGTCGTGTCAGGGCAACCAGTCAATTATATTACATTTCTAACAGAACAAAGCAAACAAACAGACAAAATACAAATTGTGTGAGTTTGGTAGTTGATTAAATGTCCTTTGACCAGTATCTGGCCACTTGGAGTGCTTCTGGTGTTGCTGCAAGAAGGTCCTCCATTGAGCATGTGTGCAGCAGATGGTCAGTGGTTTGCTCTTCTCCACACTTGCATGTTGAGGATTCCACTTTGTGGCCCCATTTCTGAAGGTTGGCTTTGCATCTCGTGGTGCCAGAGCGCAGTCTGTTCAGCGCCTTCCAAGTCGCCCAGTCCTCTGTGTGCCCAGGGGGGAGTCTCTCATTTGGTATCAGCCATTGGTTGAGGTTCTGCCTTTGAGCCTGCCACTTTTGGACTCTCACTTGCTGAGGTGTCCCAATTCCTGGACCTATATAATAATAGTATAATAATAATAAAACTTTATTTGTACCCCTCTACTATCTCCCCAAGGAGCCCCCAGTGGCGCAATGGGTTAAACCCCTGTGCCGGCAGGACTGAAGACCGACAGGTCGCAGGTTCGAATCCGGGGAGAGGCGGATGAGCTCCCTCTATCAGCTCCAGCTCCTCATGCGGGGACATGAGAGAAGCCTCCCACAAGGATGATAAAAACATCAATTTATCCTGGCGTCCCCTGGGTAACATCCTTGCAGACGGCCAATTCTCTCACACCAGAAGCGACTTGCAGTTTCTCAAGTCACTCCTGACACGACAAAAAAAAAAAATCTCCCCAAGGGACTCAGTGCGGCCAAGCCCACAGCACATCAATAAACAGAAGCGATAACAAATAATCAATACAAAACAGTTAAAATAAAAACTCAAAAACAAAAAATACACAACAAGCAATAAACAATAACAATAACAAACAGCATTTAAAAAACCTATGGCCGGGCCAAATGTAATAATTAAAATTTAAAATGCTGGGCATAAACAAGGTAGGGTAAACTAGGATAGGGCTGTAATCTCCATCTTGCTTGGATTCAGTTCCAGTGTATTGGTCCTGATCAAGCATTTGGGTATTGGATGTTTTCAGTCACTTGAGTCACATAAACCCTCGCTCTTATCAGGCTTTAAGAGAGCAGAAAAGTGAAAATACCAGTGGAAGGCATGCTGAAAAAATGATTGTCCCATGACTCACAGATAGTTTCTGCTTTTGTTTCCGAGGAATTATAAAAGGGTTCCTAAGCAGGCAAAGATGCCAAGCTGCAATGGCTCTAAAGAAATTCCTTGCTTGGTATGAATTAGAACTGGCATTTTGTATTATCTCTGTGGCAGGAATGAGATGGTGGTGGGCACATGGACTTGTGGCATCAATTAGCCTGTGGAGAATAAGACAGATGCTGAAGCAACTGACTAATATCAAACCAAATGAGCTTTTGGGTTGACTCACACACAAGGGAGTGCAAAACCTTCAGCATGGCAAAGCTGCAAAGGGCTGCAAAGGTTTTGGGCGGGTATGTTGTGTAATCCCACATGGAATGCATCAA